TGGAGTAGGAAGACTTTATGTCAAATATATGCGTTGATATTTTTTCAACATGACATTAAAAAGACAATGGAAGCGAACCAGCTTTTCTCTGATTTATTGTATTTTCAAGTGCTCATGTATTGATTATTCACATCACCACAACTGTAAAGCATTTAATGCTGTATTTTATCACTCTCTCATTAGATCATATTCAGTACTAGGACTCGTTCCTAAAGATCTCTCTAGATACACATCACCGTCTCTTGGGAAGCTCCACAGAATGGATTTGTGCCCACCAAAGAGATTTGGTTTATTACAGACTTAGTCAGGGTTTAAACGTTTGCCACAGTACAATTTCTTCCCATGGAAAGAATACTAGTACTAAGGCATGTATACAGGCAGGGTGCCCAGCTGCTTTTCACTATGAAAATCTTTTACAGCAACTTCCAATGAGGACAAAATATTCTCTTTCAAGACAAAGACAAAATCAGTTTTTAATAGAATGTGTGTTCTGAGCACTTACAAGGAAGGAAGAAAGGATGGTAAGTGGGAAGGAAGGAATGATTATAACTGAATTTTGGAGCTGAGAAGGAGAAGTGGAAGAGAAGGTACAATGGGGAAATGCAGGGTGACAACAAAGAACTGGGCTGTCTAAAATCAGGGGATATCTTACTGACTTCTGTATACCAGCTGTGTGAGCGGAATGGTGAAAAATAAACCCAGCAATCAGCTCTTGTGGTGGCAATTCTTTTGCATCAAATTTTGTGGCTAACAAAAAGAAAATACAAGGAAATAATACCAGAAGTGCTCAAGAACTCTAAATGTTGTTTACCTTCCCTTAAAGAAAGAAAAGGGGTAAACTCTGAGAGTAGCAAAAACCTTTTACTGAGCCTAGAGATGAGTATGTGACTGCAGTAATGGCAGAGAAATGCAGTTGCTGTCACTTCTTTTTATATTCCTTGGTGGTTAGTGGAAAAATCAGATACTCAGTATCTTTCTACAAATATTATCACAGCTGTAGAATTGTGGTACTCTTTTATAACACACACAAGTTAGTGAGTACCTAAATTGGCTTTTTTGTATTTCATATTTTCTTGGATACATAGAAACTACACCATGCAATCTGGAATAATGAAAAGAAAGTGTGTGCTGTGTAAAAATCTCTTATGTCTCTGTAAAAAGCTCACAAATCTTCAGATGCTCAAAACTTAAACTAAACAGCGAAAAACAAATTTGCTGTAGAATTAGAACTTTCACCTAGAGATTTAATGCCCTTTAACTTCTGCCCTATGCTTCCCTATTCTTGGTACCACTGAAAAAGTGAATCAGGAAACCAATTTGCTTTCATTAATTGAGAAGAGTCAGTATGACATCTAGTGGATGAACAGCTACCAAAAGATTGTGGACAACTAGAAATCAAATAAAGAATACTGTTAGAAATAGACACAGAAGCTGTACCTCAGCTCAGAATCAGACACTGAGAATTCACCTTCTTATGTTTTAAAGGAAGAGAAGAATCTTCTTGGCATGTGACATGTAAGAGACAGGAATGAGCTTTGACTTTGTTCACTTCTTGATGTCAATAGTGAAGATCTTGGTAACTTCCATGGTATGACACCTAGCTCCTGTCAATACAAACTATGATAACTGTGTGGTGACTGAGCACCAACATGGGGTGCCCTGAGAGGCTGTTGAAATTCCCTTTTTGGAGATAATTCAGTTTGGACATGGCCAACTTATGCTGGATCAAGAGATTGTGATCAGCACACAAACTTCGGCTCACATTAAATTACTAGTGACATCCTTTGGGACCTAATTTTGGTACTAATACTCCTGATTATCCTTATAAATGACCTTGGAAATGTGACAGGTCATCATAGAAGCAGATTTTCAGACATAAAATGAATCCAAGAAGAGATTATTGACCCATTGGAGTACCAGGGCTGCTATTTTGCATTACAACAGAACAGTGATATCAACGAGGTTCAACCCCAGACACACGCAAAGTGCTGTGTCTATGTTGGAAAATTCTCACTCAGCAATACAGCCTAGGGATCAACACAGTACAAAGCAGCTTTGCTGTAAAGACAGTAGGTCCCGGTGGACACCGAGGTGAGTTTGAGTCAGTAGTGTGCTTTGTGACAAAGAAGGACAACAGCTGACATACTGGAGCGAGTGCTGGGAAACACCTCCAAGAGCACAGGATGTTGAGGGAGAGAACACGATCTCATATTTCTGTTTACAGGAATCTGTATGAAAGGTAAAGAACCTTTCATACAGATCTTAGCCAGATCTTATCAGGACCATAGGAATGGGATTACAAAAAGCAAGTGATATCTTAGAACATGGGAAATTTTTATTAGAAATCAGGAGAAAGTTTTCACAGAATTGTAGGGGTTGGAAGGGACCTCCAGAGATCATCATCCCCCCTGCCAAAGCAGGTTCCCTACAGCAGGTCGCACAGGTAGGCATCCAGGCAGGTCTTGAACATCTCCAGAGAAGGAGACTCCACCACCTCCCTGGGCAGCCTGTTCCAGTGCTCCGTCACCTCACTGTAAAGAAGTTCTTGCGCATATTTGTGCTGAACTTCCTATGCTGCAGTTTCCGGCCGTTTCCCCTTGTCCTGTCTCCACTCACCACTGAAAAGAGTCTGGCCTCGCCATTCTGCCCCCCACACCTTAGATATTTATAGACCTGGATCAGGTCCCCTCTCAGTCTTCTTTTCTCAAGGCTGAACAGACCCAGTTTTCACTGACAGATGGTCAAATGCTGTCCATAGAAGCTGTGGAAGTTTGAAAAACATGCAACCTGCATATTCTAAAACTTTTGAAAAACTTCTGAGGCTCCTGCAGACATATTATCAGTTGGGAACCTGCTTTCTGACATCAGGGATAGGTAATGATAAAAAAATATTGGAATATAACTTAATGCTCAGCTAAGAATTAGTGTAGCTCATGTGCAGAGGTGGCAGAAGTAAACTTAAAAGTACAACCAGTTAGAAGAAAGAACAATCTTAGTCTGTGGTTACAAGAGCTGGATGTGTTGCTCTTTATCAAAGGATCGGTTTCACAGTTTCAGTTATCACCTCCGTAATGTGTGGTGGATGGAAAAGGGTAATCAGCTAGGGCTGACTCGTTGGTGGAGCTTCACAGAAACATCTATTTTCAATATCAGCGTGAACTTCCATTTTCATCATGGCATTTTCACCATGCCACACTGAGCTGTAGTTATTTTCACAGCTGAGTTACTTTGCTATTACAAACCTATTACTTCTCCATTAAAAATTGTATTGAAAAACTGCAGACTTGATTCTGCACACATTCACAAGGCACAAAATGCTAGCTACGACATTAGCTGAAATGCACAGCTTTCCACAATGCAGCTGAAAGTTCAGAAACTTCAGAGTATTTCAAAAGCAAATGAATATGAGAACAACTAATGGAAAATATTGTTGTAAAAAGTGAATAAAACAGAAGTATCTGAACTGTCACTATCAAGTCTTATCCTGTCAAAGTAAATAGCTGATGACATTTAACTTCACCAGTTCCTTGTCTGCTAAACTGCTTTAATACTCGTGTAAAATCATTATCAGTATATGGTGTAAAATGTAAAATTGTTACAGTATACGTATGCTTTCTTTTAAGTTTTAAAATCAGGTACTGAGCCTTAAGAACAATAAACACTGTGAAATATTGTGTACACATTTAAAAGTAGTTACAGTGAGTCAGATTCTCAGCTGACCTACCTAAAGTTCTGATTTACATTGTCTAACAGTCTGATAGTGTTTGTATATAGATTGTCTTAATCTCTGATGAGAAAAACTAATGAGGTGAGGCAGCAAAACTCTCCAGAGTTTCTCAGCTTCACCTCAGCAGCAAAATCTGCAAAATGCCAGCTCTGTGGAATCCCTCCCTGTTTAGAGTAATTTGCCCCTTCCACTTTCACAGACATCTCCTGTCATTACTGGGAAATTCTGTAAAAAGTAATAAAAACAGAAATAGGGTGACTATTACCAGACAGTTTTCTGAAGATGAGCAGTGTAATACGAAAAACAAAGGAAATCCCAACGGGATTGATTTGTTTCTGCTGTTATCAAAATGAATTCATTTAGAAGCAGATCTCAAGTCATCATTCAGTATCTATCAGACAAACTATTGGTGTGAAATAAACAGTGGCAGACACTCGTGCAGGAACAGCACTTAAACATGAAACACAACTCTCAGAAATCCTCGATGAAACCATAGTTTCAGCAGATGAGCATTTGGCTTAGAACCAGTCAGCTGTCGGCATGAGGTTTACGTAGGGGTGAATGGTCCTTTCAGAAGAATGGAATTATGACGTTTTGTGTCTCAAAACCTTGCGTCAATCCACCCCCAAAAGGGACATCGGGACAGAAAGAACAGCTCTGAAATCAGGAGAATCTTGTTTGGGAGCACATTTTGTTTTTTCCTGCAGATCGTGATTTGTCAGGCTTTGTGGTTTTTTTATATCTTTTTGCAGCATATCAGCTTTATTGTTTATCTCTTAGCACACTCTCATCCTCAAAGGGCCACTGAGGAGGACGAAAGTTGTAGCTGAGATAGAAGCTGCTGTTTTTAGCCTGATATGCACACTCCTGAAACTCCATCCTACTTTCATCACACTTCTCAGAACACAGTCCCGCCACAAGCCTTCAGCAGAAGAGCAGAGGAAGAGGTGTTTCCATCCAAAAGTAACGAAGCCATCACCGTGCACCCTCTCATCCTGTAAAGGTCTCTCTTCTGACACAGCCCATCTTGCCCCAATTGCAGGCACGGCACTCTGCCAGGTTTCACCTTGCAGCAGCTGGTAGCCGGGAGCACTCTCCAAGCCAGGTAATTCCAAGCCAGGTAATCCCAACCCACAACCCACATCCCCTGCCCGGGCTGCTGCCTTCTAATCCAACTGGGAGGCACCCGCCCCCTGCCGGGCTCCGCTGCCCCACGCAGGAAGGGGCGGTGCTGCGGGGGCTCCTGGCGTGTAGGGTGCCTCTCTCAAATGCTTCCTTTAGAAGAGTTCACGTTCAGAAATCGCTGTTACTTTTCCTAGCCATACAAGTAAAAGTGAAAATCTCACTTCTGCCTTTTCCATTCTCCTCCCTGTGCTCAACAGTTTAAAAAAAAAAAAAAAAAAAAAAGACACAAGTGATAATTCCACTCTTGCTTTTTCGGAAGGTTTCTCAGTCTGGGCTGTTTTCGTATTGACTCACTTCGAGATCGCTGTGTTTCAGTGCTGAATTCAGAAGGTTTGTGAGTGCAGCCTGTAACTGCCTGCCGTTTGGAAGGTTACCTCTCTGCATCCGCTATCAACCTGCGTCGTGAGTAAACACTTCCTTGTTTGGAAATTTAGGTGGATTTTTATTTTAACCAATATCTTGTTTTCCTGACAGGATGGTGTTTAGACGTACCAAGGTTCTGATAACTGCCTTCTAGATCCTTTCTCTTCATTAATCCTATGTGAATTGTGGTGCTATATAGTCACGCGTGAAAGAGACTGACATTCCCCAAAAAGCCTTCCTGAAAGAGTTGAGGTTAGTGGCTTCCTCACTGACCCTCCAGACATTTGTTCAAACAGTCTGAGTTTCAGAAGGATCTATTGTTGTTTGTTTTGCTTTGTTGTAAAGAATGCCACAATCCTTTGGGATACAAATTCCAGTTTCCAGAAGTGTTTATCAAAATGAGTTACACGACCAAAACATCTCGGTGTATCAGCCTATGTGCTTCATAACATAGAGTTAATGCAGTTTGCACGATTTGGAATGCTCAAGTTTGCTTTAAGATTTTAATGTGTTAGAGATGACACAATGATTCTAAGAACTGTTTTTATAATTGGAAGTCCAGATGTAGCTTTAAGCATGTGGGAAATTTGAAAAACATGCTTGAAGCTGCTGCTCCTTTAGACACCTTACAGACAACTTTGTGTCATTTTTGTTTTTAACTTTTGTCTTTGAATCTCTCATCCTCTGCTATTTTGCTCTGTGAATATTTTTGTACTTCTTCTGAGAATCATTGTCCTTATATTATCACCCCATTCCTTTCGGAAAGTTAAAGACCTTATTCTGTTCCTTGAAGAATACTGATTGTAGTTGAATTTTACCTAAATTATATCTTTTTTTTTTTTTTTTTTTTTTTTTTTTGTCCTCCCTGGTGTTCCACTGAAGAGTACTGCCAACTATATGGCTCGAATAAAAATACTTCTAGCCTGGACAAACTCATCAGGTCCAATAGCAGCATAAGATGAAGATTAAGGTGGTGTATTTTACTTGGTATTTGTAGTCAGGTATCTCAAACCTGGTTATTACTAAGTAGTTTGGATCAGATTTTGTTCTTTAATTCCTATTCCAAGAACCAAGGGCTATACTATGCTTTCATTAAAACATCAATTTTGTGCTGATGTGATGTGCCAATAAAAAATGGGATTTAGAATTAAAATCTGACGATATATAATTTTATCTTAATATAGTGGATCATGGTTTCATTGTCTGTGACAATTGTATTTGTTATAGATGTGAAAGGATGAAAATGAAAAGAAAATTCAAGACAGAGAGACCCTTCTTTTTTTTCCCCATAAAATATAATAGTTTGATTCTCCATGTACAGAAGAGAACCAAAACCAGGTCTGAGTGCATGGCCTCTTGGAGTTGCTTGTTGCAGTATTCAGCACCCAGCTTTCTGCTGTTTTCTAAATTGGGATCTGTCTACCAGTCAGTCTGAAAAAAAGGGATGTGAAATAGTTCTTTCATTTTCTTACGGTTATTTATGGGAAGATGGCACACTTGTAATGAGTTGAGGGGAAAGCAGCTATATATCTTGATGTAATTCTGGAGTATTACTTGAAATGCAATAGTCTACTTCATCCTGCTTGTTTATATCACAGCAAGTTTTTGGCAGTAAATTTCAGACAGGTGTCTTACAAAAGTAAGTATGTATCTTCTCAAATTGCAAAAGTTTTAGGTTGAAAAGACAAATGGGATGCTCAAAGAGATAGCTGTGTGTGAAAAATCTCTCTTGAGTACATCATATTGTACATGCATGTTCAGGTTGATGATTAGGTTGATGACTAAGGGAATTTGTATTGGCTGAAATCAGCATCTATGCTTTCTGCTGTGTTAGCAGAACTGAAGCATGGTCGTAGGACTGGCTCTGCCCTTGTTTGCCCCCAGATGAAAACATGAGCATTCCCAGCTGGTACGTATTTGCTCAACAGATTAAAATGTAAGACAAAATTATAGACTTCGCTGTTTTCCAGTGGTTTAAAAAGACACCTGAATGTCTGATCTATCAATGTTGCGCTATTCTTCTGGAAAATAAGGGAATTTATTAGCTGTGTTTCTGTAAGGTCTTGCCTTGCAAATGCCATACTCTTTGTAGGAAAAAAAAAACACCACAGAACACTGTATTGGATTGGAATCCAAGTGTAGATGTTCCTCAAAGACTGTCAGTTTAATCAGGAATACAAAGGACATTAAGCAATCTTGAAAATGAAGGAAGGAAACCCGTCATTGTTTTCTGAATTTGAAATAAAACCTGCCAAGGAAAACCTAGATACATGACTTGATACATCAAAATACCTGTTATGGTAAAAATGAGTAACTTTCCATTTGAAAGGCCCTCTGCAATAATGGGCATTAATTGTGCTTCTCGCTACGCTCAAAGAAGTCTGTATCATTGCACTTGTGATGAACTGTGAGTATATTTTCCTTAGGCTTTCAGTGTGACCAAGAAGAACTCAGTTTCATTTTTTCTGGAGAAAAAGTGAGAAGTAACTCAAGGAAATGAATCTCATGTTTTTTTTGTTAATTTTTATAACTGAAACAGCCACAGGTAAGTATGAATCCTCTTTTCAACAGTAGAACCTTCAAAATATTTGCCAAAATAAGGACATCTTGATAGTTTTTCAGACTGAGATTTTTGTACTTTGCATTTAGGAACAACATCTTAATGTTTTTCAGTTTCAGCCTAGCTCCAGAGTTTGGAAATGTCATTTATAGTTACAAAACTATGAATTAAATACACTAGAGATGAAGACGGATAGAGACCCCCAATTCTATTGAACAGGTGCATGGCTGTATGGCGAGCTGCAGCAAAGAGGAAAATGATCCTGACTGTGGCATTCAGAAGTGTAGTCTCAATAACAGCTAGAGAAAGACAATCTCTAGGACAAATAGGATTGAAAGCTTATTTATTATTGACTATTTCTGCTAGACCGGTGTTCCTTTTCTGTATTTCATATGACTTTCACATGCGAAAGTACATTTGGAAAATTTGATTAGAAAAGCAGACTTTGAGACTAGATTTTTCACACAGAACCTTGTTTGGAGATAAATTTTCTAAAGATACGAAGCTTTAAAGAAATCTTAGCATGTAATTATTGGGCATTAATTAAGAAGGAAATGTACACCTCAATTCATAGACTCTGCTTTTATGGCAGTTGATCAGTTAGGAGGATTAGCCATCTTTGTCGAGTCCAACCACATGAAGAAATTTTCTGTTTGTGGCAGCTGCTTTATTATAAAGTGAGGCCAAATTCTGCCATCTATGCCCATTTTGGACCCACATGAAAGAATTTTAGGGAAATGTCCATTTTTTTATCCTTGTATGTCTTCTAGTTTTGGTTCAGTAAAATAGACTGAAATAGATTTTGTTGGAACAAATAAATTATGTCAGTCTACTCTGCTAAAAAAAAAAAAAAGTTGTTTTATAAAAGACTTGCTACGCAGCAGTTCACTTTAAAGTCAAGCTGATATTATTTTCTGAAAGAGTATTAAGCCTTTTTCCCTCTTTCTCTGAAGAGAAGCTGTGTCCTCTTCGTGCCTCCATTGATGTACTAGAAGGGGAGTATTTTTACCTTTGTTTTCCTGAGTCAAAACTACAACATTCTTGGAAAGAAGAATACACAATAAACTGGTACAAAGAAAGTGCTGGAAGGCAGAAGCGAATAAATGAAACACACAGAATTGTATCCCAAATGAATTTTTTGGAGTTTTGGCCAGCTGAACTTGGTGACTCTGGGAATTATTTTGTCACTCAAAGGTGGGTACACAGCCAGTGGATGAGCATCCTCCTTTGCCCTTATCTATGAATGTGGTAATTTCTTTGTCTTGCTTTGTATTGTTTGTGGTATCCACACAAAGGAAGTGTGGAGAACTACATTAATTGTGGTGTCACAGTTTCTCAGTCACCACCCAAAGGGATTTGTAGTATATGCAAATAGCTGTAGGCAGATACTGCCTTTCAAAGATTGGATAAAACAAGTAGCATTTTTTGATGTTTTATGGCTAATTCTCTAAGCATAAGGAGAGACAGACACTCCTGTCAACTGCCAAGTAAAAGGAAACATTTTAGGAAATAATTCTCCACTATGAGGGTAGTGAGGCAATGGAACAGATTGCTCAGAGAAGTGGTGGTTGTCCTATCTTTAAAGTGGTATAAGCCAGGTCAGATGGGGCTTTGAGCAACCTGATCTAGTGGATGGCAACTCTGCCCACAGCAGGGTGATTGGAAATCGATCATCTTTATGGTCACTTCCAACCCAGACCATTCTTTAATTCTATAATTTGCTTGTCCTCTACACCAGACCTGTTCTTACTGGTGTTACACTCCTGTGTTGAGTGGAGCTCGTGCTGTGATGTCTACTGATTAAATGTGGAATGAAGTAACAGCAGCATAGATGAACTCTGGTTTCTGTGCAAAGCCTTGCATACCTGGAGCTGTTCATGGATCAAATAAGATAATTGGATTTAATTTCTTACCCCCATAGAGCATCACAAGTCAAAAGGGGAAGTAAGGTTGGGCCTCAAGTGATTGTGGTATTCCTTATCAGACCATGAGGAGGTGATGGGAAAAGATCCTGAATAAAATTATTAGGATAGAGTTTGTTAACATGATTATTTGTTCAATAACACAGAAGTGATCCTCTGTGAAATATTGTGATTATCTGATGTACCTAAGAAGGAAACTCAGAAGAAAGTTTTTGATTTTATCAAAGTATTCATTTGCAATTGAGTTTTGATTTTGTTACGAAACCCTTTTTTCATTTTCTAACATGCTGTATTATGATACTACTTTTGAAAAATGTGTTATAGAAGAAAGCATTTTTATTTATGAGAAAAAAGTTTCTGAATTAAAAGAAAATATTTTGGCACCCTGAAACAATTTTTAATTTATTTATTTAGAATTTCTCCATGTTAGACCCATACAGATATTAGGTGTTTTTTTGTTTGTTTGTTTTTAAGATTAGAATGAAGGGTATTGGAACAATAAGGTTCATGGTGGTTTTTTTTTTTTTTTTTTTTTTTTTTTTTAAATGGGATTTTCACTGTATCTTGAGATTAGTTTTTCTGATGGTTCTCAGTACAGGAAAGCATACTAAGAGCAGTTGAAGACTATTTGCAGAATCGATTTTCTATGGTGAAGGAGGACTTTCAGGAGTTAATTGACATTCAAGAACTGTGGATTATTGTGGGCTACTGAATTGATTTAAGATTTAATAAGATTGACAGAATGAAGTTTGTTTCATAACATTTTATATTAGGCTAAAATTTTGGTTTAAAAGTAAACAAGCTATGCATATTTTCACTTATCTTTTTGATAATTAATAATTAGTAACAAATAATTAATTTAGATATGAGAATTTGTAAGGTATATGGGAAATGATTTTTTAGCTGCATAGGTAAACAGTTTTAATTGACCAAAGTGTCAATCAAATTCACTGCAGGATTTCAGGAACTATATGACAACACAGGATACATATTTTGCAAGCTAATTAATTATTTCCTGCTCTGTTGCAACTGACAATGTGCAAGGAGAGAGAGGTGAAAATGTTGTAACAGTGTATGTATATTGTGTTATCCACTTATTTTTTACTTAAAGAATAATCAGAAGTTTTCTAGTTCAACAGAATTGTTCTGCTGAGACATAGCATATATAGCCAAAGATGTATATGTTGATGTGTTTGCACATTTATTAATGCAGTAGACTGAGGACATAATTTTAGGAATTAGTGGACATCACCTGAAAGTCTGAGCGTGTCCACCTTCAGCAACATCTCTTGAACATAAAGGATTTCAAAGGCACTGGATGTGGGAGAGGTAAACAGAAATCTGTGTCGCACATTTTTGGCAGGATCTCGAATTTGTGTGGTTTTTGTACCTATTTCCTGTGGTTGGCAGAGAAAAAAATAACAACAACAAAGACACCAACAAGAAAGCAGGTCATCTTGTGGCTCTGCAATAATGACCTTGAAATAAAGAGTTCCTGAAAAAAATTAGTGTGTGGAGATTCATGACAGACACCTGATTATATAATAAGTTCCTAACACTGCATATTTTTTAAGGTGCTTAGAGCTGTTGAAAGCAGTGGGAATGCACACATGTAGAGATAATACTGTATAGAAGGCTGTCAGTTTTGTTTTGCAGGTTGAAATACTAATGTAACACTGGATTGTTGCACTGAAACAGCTTAGAACTGTGTATGTATACAGTCTTTATGGTAAACTTGGATTATATGCCCTAAGGGCTTTCACTTCCCTGTATGCTTTCCTGAGTCAAGCTGTTTTTTGTTCCTTTTTTGTGGGTTTGGTGGGTGAGGTGGAAAGTTTGTTAAGCCAGAAGTTGTTGTGTATGCCCAAAAACTATCACAAAAGAATCACAAGTGATAGAAATATAACAGCTCAGAAAGGAATATTACAGCTATAACCTTTAGAGAAAAAATGCAAGTAGAATATAGTAGATATCTGGATGATCATGGTCAGCTTCTAGAGATTTAGAAGAGGCATTTTTACAGCATATTTACATATCCTTTTATAGATATGAGATGTAATGAAATTGCTTTAGAAGAGAGAGTTGCTGGCTCTTCTATCCACCTGTGGTGGCCAGCAAACTGTAGAGCTCTGTTCAGTGGAGACTAAAATGAGATTAATTCTTTCAAAAATGCTTTCTTTTGAAGACATGCTTAAATTCGTAAGTGATTCAGTAATTCATGAGACTTGCAGAGTTTAGAAATATTTCCAAAATTTTGGTGATTATCTCCACAGTATTAAACAATGAAAAAACAGGACTTTGTGAACAAAACCAGAATCGCCTATTTTATTTTTAATATTTTTATAATAAATAGATTTCTCAGTTACTACTTTAGACCTTATCAAAGCATGGGAAATTAAACCTGCAAGATCAGTAGCTGATTCATGCTACTTAAACTCTTTTATTTCCATGTTTAACTATGTATGACGCCACAGATACTTGATTTCTTGTTCTGGTAGATATATCTTGTACTACATCTACCAGAACAAGAACAGTGTTGTCATATTTCATAACATAATTTTATTGTCAAATGCATTATGATAGGTAATTTAGTTTAGATTACCTCTTTTACTGTGGGAAATAACACATTTGAGATGGAAGAGTAATAAAGGGAATGTAAATAATCAGTTCACAGTACATGTATTTTTTACCTATTATGGCTTGAAGGACTTACTTTTATTTTGTTATGTAGCTTGCTAAGCTGAATTCCTTTAAAAAGCTCTTAAAACTGGTTTTGCAAATCTTTTTTCATAGCAGTGGAAAACGAAATTTCACAATTCAAAAGTGGACCTTGAATGTACTTGAAAGAAATAGAAGCAGCTGTTTCAATCAAAATCATTTAACAACTGAAATTCAAAATGCTGGAACTGGTCATTCATTGAAATGCAATGATCTGTCTGTCAATGAAAATGACAGCATAACATGGTATAAGGTAATCAAAAAATCAAAGCATTGTCTGTTGATAGAACATCTATTGATAGAACATCTAATTGCAGGAAAAGTGAATTATAGAGATTTTTAGAACCATCAAAAACCCAATAATGCTTTAGTCTTCCAAATTATTGTGGAAATAAGTCTTCAGAGAGATACACAGAATAAAGTTTCTCTCTGTTATCAAGTTTGTTAGAAATAATACCTGTAATCAGAAATTACTGGTAGTTTAGAATGGAAGAAGATCTGATGTGCATGTCTGTTAGCCTGTTTATTTGTTTTGCCAATATAGGTGTCATCCTGACACTAAATGAATTGCCAAGGTATTTGTTTAACTGTAGACATGTGCTTGTAAAGTTATTGAGAAGCTTTGAAATTTTACTGTTTCTGAACATGTTTTACAGAATGTGTATCAGACCTGGTTCAGGTCACTTTAGGCAAATCTGATCTTTGGATCAGTTTTGCTGATGCACAGACAACAGATGAAGCACCTGTAACTGTGGAGTGTTGGTGTAATCAGCCGTTAGATTTAGGAAGGCCCCTGCTCGCCACTTTGAGCATTCATAATGTAAGGTAATTCAGGCAGTGCTCTCAACTTTTAGTGGGTTGGATGTTCAAGTGTTGCCTTTAAACGGCAGTAATTGGAAATTGGGGTCTCACCTCCTTTGGGTCAGGTAAATGCTATTGAGATAGTAAAAGAATGATTCTTCATTCTGAAGATTGTTTTTGTCTTTTTTAAGGTGTTGAATATATTTCATATAGTATGATATTTTCTTGCTTTATTGATGCAGGACTGTAAGAACTATGAAGATGAAAGGGGACGGGAACTGGATTTTAAAACCTTATCAGTTCAGCACTCTGGTATATATACCTGCAAAATTTCCATCAGTCATGAAGGAAAGCTATACCACAGTACCAATACAATTAGGCTGGTAGTAGAAGAAGGTAAGAAGACTTGAAACTGAAGCATGTTTTCTGTTTACTTCACTGTGGAAAACATTCCCTACTAAATCTGTTTGTGATTGGATGTCATTCATCATCTCTTACTTACAGTTCTTACCTGATAAGTATTTCGATGTAATTAGATCTGGCAATCTGATATATATCTTGCAGTAATTCGAAAATAAAAAGCAGAAATTCATGTACTACCAAGTTTGGAAAATTTAGTAAGTTTTCCCTTGCAGTTTTAGGTGGCCTTTTTTTTTTTTTTTTTTTTTTTTAATGCTGTAAGTCATACAAACTTACAGATTCTGGGGAAAGAGCCCTTCCAACCATTGTAAACTATCTGTATTCTGTATTGAAATGCAGAAAATTCATCAGGAAATACTGCTTTTTAACTGCTCTGTAAGTATGGGTCGAAATATTTCTCTTTGAATTAGAAATCTATGTAATTAGTTCCAGAAATGTGTCATTTCTACTGTTGTAGAATGTAAGAAAGCTTCAATAGCAAAACTTCCTTATTTATATATTTTTTTTAGATGCACCAGAGACTGTAACTTTGGAGATAGTTGGACGCAATGAAGAAATCCAAACAGAAATAGGTATCAAATTGATATGAGTATTTTTATACATGTTCGTATACATGCTTTAGTCCTGAGCTCTTTATGGCTGATGGTCTGCTAAGTTTAACTGAAATAGTTGTCTGTATACCTTGCTGGATCTAATACGTCTTCACGAATGGTTATTTTTTTACTAGTGGGTTCCATGATCTATCTACAAGTACACTAAATTCACCCTTGCAGAGGCAGAAGAGGAGGTTGTTGCTATGACCATCAAGAAAAAGTGGCGGTAATGATAAACCAGCCCTCCATGGCTTTATTTTTAGACAGCAAGCAACACAGAACAATGTGTGAAATGCCTCTGGTTGTTTTTCTCAGTGAGCAACAAGAATAAGTAATCCCTTTCATATCTGTTACAGTCAAAGATGTTGCTCTGCAGTGCAGTGTGAAATTTGAGGGATGACAGTCCTGTCAATAAAAGCATTCAGATCCCTTACTGCTGCAAAGAATCCTTGTCTGTGTTCCTAGCTGGGGGTTAGATAACATGGTCTGTAGGATTCACACAGTATTGGAAACCATCTGAAATTTTCCTGTTGAGACTATATAATTCTCAAGAACATAAATTTGTCTGTCTGTTTCCTGTCCTGTGTCTGAGGGCTTCTCCCATTCCATTATCCAGTGTTCCCTTGCACCATTTTGCAAATTCTTATTTAGCACCTCTGTTGCTCATGTGTGAATCTCATTTACTCAGCCAAGGCATCAGATGTTGGTTTACCTTCAGCATGATGGCGTGGTGGAGAATGAAAGGAATTTTGGATGAATTTGGTCTGTGGACTTTCAAAACTTGTGTTGTTTAGACAGTGTTCTATAAAATTTTCCTGAAAATAGCAGTTGTGCACAGTAAGGCTCGAGTTGCTAAGTAGTTGGTAATAAATGTTTAGGTCTGTGTTTCAAACTGTGCAACTGTGATTTGGATTTAGATGGTCTAAATTTAAAGCTGGCATACTTTCAGCTAGACTTGCTTTAGAGATTCTTGAACTGTTCCACTGGAAGAGAAGACAGCTTTTTCTGTGAGAGGTCATCACAGGCCATAGCAGGTTTGGTTATTTCTTTGTGCTGTTGTATACAGTTTAGTTAGCCCCATCAGTTGGTTTAATTGCCCTTACCTGGCCCTGAGGCACTGATGAGTTGTCCTTTTATCTTCCAGCAGCATGCAGTTTAGTCCACTAAAGTCTTTCACCTATTTAAACTTTTCTGCCTGTTACAGAGTTAATTTGACAGAAGATCCTCACTCTGCAATGAGTGCAACAGTACAGATGGAACATGTATAAAACTTTGTGTAAGGGCTACTAAGTCCAGAAGGGAGGGTAGCATCTTGGATATCTGACCTGTAAAGCTCATATTTTGCTGCACTGTAAATGTGAATGCTGCTTTTGATTAGATCTTCTTATGTTATGCTTTGTTTAGGTAAAGAAGAGACACTCAACTGCACAGGTTTCTTGGGTTATTATATACAAGAAGATGCCAACCTCTACTGGTGGTTTAATGATACATTTCCCAAAAAATGTTCAGGTATTCCCGAGGCTGATCCACCAATATGTGAAGAAGATTTAAAAAAATCACAGTAGGTTTCCAGAAAATACTGATCTTCTGTCATATGCTGTGGACTGCAAATTAATTGAAATACCTGAAGCTCTTCTACAACCTTTTCCTCAAAATCTGCTTCTCAACTTATTGTAGATTTCTGTGCAGGTAGTGTTGCTAATTTCATTCCTTATTGCAGTTCGGGAAACAAGTTTTATATCACAAGGCTTCTACGGATTAAAAAAGTAAGAGAGGAGGACTTGAATCACAATTTCACCTGCACACTGCAAGCCGATGAAATAATGCACATGAAAGTAGTGAAACTGAAAAAAGGTACAGTATAATCTATGAATCATGCTTCTCATTTTTAATTATTATTTGTGCCAGCCCCCTTGGCAAGGGTGGCACAGCACTGATTTCGGAATGTCAGTCCAGACACACATGCGTGCTTGTGAAGGCTTTGGCCCCTCTGATGCTGGGCTTAACATATAGCAATAAATAAACAAAAAAAAAAGCTTGAGAGAGTAAAGACAGAACAACAAAAAAGAGATTAAAAAGGACATTAAGTGGTGTTATTGATGAGCTGAGAAAGGAGTAGCAAATAAGAGGAAACGATAAAGATTCTGAGGAGAACTCAGGTCAACACAGAATTCTGTGTGATTCTGTGTGTGATAAAAGCAGTTGACCTAGTATAGCTCTCCAGTTTGGGATGTTGTACATTTTTGAGGAGTTTTATCTCAGTATTGATCCCATATGAAACTCATTTATGTGTATCTAGGGTGTGTGTGCACGAAAGATTAATTTTGTTGTTTTTAGAGTAATCTATGTTCTTCAGCTCTTTTCCATCTCAGGATTAATGGTGTACGTGTGTGCCTGAAAGATTAACAGGAAAAGATTCACATCAACATTTCAGTTTGGGTGATTTTAAGATGTCATGAGTATTTACTATCATACTCTCTGTTAAGGCTATAATTGCCTGGGTTTCTCTTTTACAGGAAATACCCGAGATCTGCCTATGCATATATTTACAACTGGAATGATCCTTGCTGTACTGTTTCCATGTGTTGCTCTGGCTGTGGTAGTTGTCTGTGTGATTTTCAGAGTAGACTTAGTTCTATTCTACAGGAACATAAGCCAAAGAGATGACACTGCCGGAGGTATGACTTGGCTAATGCTGACATTGAAGTAGAGCATTGATTAAATGAATAGCTTCTGATAAGTTCTATAAAATGGCCATCTTTGAGGAAGTGGCAAAATAAATGCAGGAGTTCTATCAGTAGAATGAGCAAAGAGTACATAAAAGATATCAATAGGTGCTAAAATGATGTTATCCTCTTAGAGTAGTAAAGCAGATACGCACAGAGAAGCTGCCTCTGGAGCAGGCAGTAGGAGGGATGTAATTGGATGCTGTTCAAGTATGCTTTATTTTGTAGTAATCTGCATCACAAAAGTTGGAGAGTTGTTGGCATAGGTGGAGAAATGTACAAGTATCTATCCACAGTGAGCATTCTGCAGTTGTCAAAGTGATAGATCGATAGAAATTTGTTTTCACCTCAGTGGTGCCCTTCTGCTTGCTATTAAAATGCTTCTTTGTCTGTAGCAGTCTGGACTCTAAATCAGCTTGACTATAGTTTGAATAAACCGCAGTAGTTGGAGATTTCTCAGTAATGGGTGAATGTCGTTGTTTTCTTGTTTCCAAAGAGTTATTTATCTCTTTGTTAACGCTAAGGAAGAAGTACAGTTGATGCCAAGCTATGTGTTTTGTATCAATCCAGATAGCTCTTTGTGGCAAGGTTCAATTAGGGATTGATCCCTGTGGTAAATCTAGTTTTGGAATTGGTCTTATTTGGGTTCTATGCTTATAGATTGTTTCCTGGTACATGACCAAATGTGGTGTATTCTTGTAATTCTTAACTCGTTAAAATAATAAACTGGCTTATTTTATTGTTCTACAGACCTACATGATAGTACTAGACAAAGAGTAAAATAAATGTGACTTATTTAATATTCTTATCAAGTCATAAACATGTTTTTTCTATTAGTTTCTAGTAACTTCCTTATTTTTTCTGATCATCGTAAATATCACATTGACTGGTTAAAATAATCTGATTTAAAAATATAATGGAGAGAGGATATATTATTTTCAAATATTTGAAAAAATGCAAACAAAATCAAATACAAATTTTTGAAGTATCCATTATCAAGAAAAAAAGAGCAGAAGCTTCTAGATGCTTTGCAGCTGAAACAGTAATTTTGTAAACCAGAATGGTGGATCAGATAGTTTATTTCTAATCATTGCCAACAAGACAAAAATGGGTGATTTCTTTCCAGATGGAAAAGAATATGACGCTTTTGTATCTTACCTGAAAGACTGTGTTTCTACTAGTAAAGAAGAGAGAGAATTTGCTTTGAGGATATTACCAATGATATTAGAAGAAAACTTTGGGTACAAGTTATGTATATTTGAGAGAGATGTATCTCCTGGAGGAGGTAAGCATATTGAATATTCTTGTCAATAAATGAACACATCCTTTTCATGCAAAGCTAAATAAAGAATTCTATCAAAAGTTCTTTACATTGAAGTGGTACCTTTTCATTTTATATAGGCTGTGTTTGCTCACAGAGGCAGCACAAAGACATTTTATTGCTTTTTATGTAATTTTATGAATTCTTAGACACATGCATATATACCTTTAATTATGCAGTCAAGACAAATAGGTGGAAAAGCTGCCATGGAGAAAGGGTGAGAACACAGATTATGAGGTGCTTCATGATGGTAGAGCTCTTTCTCTGCTTTTGCTGAGGGCAGGTGTCTGTGAATGAACTTAGATTTATTGCACAGAGAAATTGATGGTTCTGGTATTAAGTATTTTCAGGTAGCTTATATGTTTCTATCCTTGTTTTGGCAGTTGATAGCCTTTTTTTTAATATATCCAATAGAAGACAAATGGTAGGAAAATATACATGAGAACATGACATTTTGTTTCTTTAAATGACCTATGAGCAGAAAGCCTTTTACAGATGATCACAAAAAATATAATTTCATTAATTTGAGGACCTGTTTGGGGGGTAGAATTCATGTTAAACTCTCGAAGCAGTAAGCTCTCTCACCCTCCTTTTCAAGGCGGGATCTTCTGTCCATGCATCCTTTCCTGACGTATTTTTCAAACCTGTAAGAAATACCACAAATTTCCCAATAAGTTCTGAGTATTATAAAAAAGGCTTTCCTATGTGCTCAACTTGATTCTTCCCTTCAAGTGTTGCAGTTTATTTCATTTTCTCTGGTATGATCTATTGTGGATATAGAAAACAGATTGTTTCCTTCTATTTGCAGTACCCTTGCCAGTCTCCTTCTCCTTTCAGTTTTCTCTTCTTTTGGTTACTTCTGCAGTTTGCTTTCTCTTTCCCTATGAGGCATATTTTCTGGATTTGTAGTTTCTGTAGACCTTGTTGTTTCATGGTTGTGGAGCTCATTCTATCATCTCATGCTAGCCTTCTCAGCCTTGAATTACCAGCAGTAGATTTGGGATTTCAGTGGAAGAAAAGGAGTGAGCTGGTGTTTATTGAACAATCAGGGAGAAGTGACTGTTGGTGACTTTGTGTGGAATCACTCTAATGGCATCAGTGGATGAAAAATAAGTTTAACTGTCACCTTCTGTACGTATGATTACAGATAGATAGCTGGAGATTGTATATAGATTTTTCTCTGCTTCATAGATTAAGCTTTGACCATGGGAGAGCTTATTTTCACAAATCCATTATCCGTAATGAATATTAATCTATTCTTAAGGACAGGATGATTCTTCACAAGAAGAATATTTTGGTACATGTGGAATTCTTAAAGGAGAAGTCAGTTCAGTGCCTGCCCTTTCAATTTAGTTTAATAACACATTTTTTTTTTAATTTGCAGCTGTTGTTGATGATATCCATTCATTCATTGACAAAAGCCGAAGATTAATCATTATACTGAGCCAGAACTACATTTCTGACAGAGTCATATATGAACTTGAGAGTGGACTGCACAAAGCTCTAGTAGAAAGGAAAACGAAGATTATATTAATTGAATATATGCCTATTAGTGACTACAATTTCTTGCCAGAATCACTGTCTCTTTTGCCATCAAAGAGGATAGTGAAATGGAAAAAAGATAAATCTCTTCCCGCGAATTCCAGATTTTGGAAGAACCTTCGGTACCTAATGCCAGCAAAACCTACCAAGTCAAACACCAAAGGACACTGCCTGAATCTAGATCGAGGTTCAAAAGGGACTCAACCGTGGGGTGGAGGCTGTGACTTTAATACAGTCATATAGCAATTTTGGAGATGGAATTTGCTGCAGAAAGCTACCATCTTCAATAAATTCAAATAGAAAACACACACTGCAATTACTTTTGAGAGACAGTATTCATAGCAGTCTGAGATTTGAGAAGAATGTAAGAATCACCACATTGGCTAGAATCATGTTAACTCCAATACTAAATTATATTCCAAAGGATGTTTCCTCAGCAGTCTGCATAAGGAGCTTAACTCTTATTCCACAACAACTGCATTGTGTAAACTTCTGGTATTATGTTTTCCTACTTATAGAATGACATTGGTTAAACTTGCATATTTCTGATATTTAGGTGCTTTTGGTTTTGGTATTTTCTAAGGGTCCTGCTTGGAAGTAAAAACAAATGGCTCCTACTCTGGAAAGTCTGGCAGATAGGCCTTGGGCAGCGCTGAGCAGAGAAGTGAATCAGACTGTATTCACTGCTGAGCAATGTGCCATGGTAAAAGGAGACAAGGGAAAATAGGACTATGCATACATAAACTAACATCAGTTCTTATTGCTCTTAGGTCCCAAATTGCTGATTTTAACCAAGGCTTAGAAATGCCTACTTTCTGTTTGCCACGCTAGAGAAATGAGGCTACTAGTTAGGCTTTTATAGACTGTGGTTCTTTTGGTTTTCCTGATGATGTTTGTGTCAATATATATATATATGAATTGACATGATTGTTGTTTTGAGATCATTTCAGTGATTCTTTTAACATTTTTGTACCATTTTTTGCACTTAATAAAAATTTATTTCCCTCTCTGTACAACAGTGGCTTTTGTTTTTGCTGCAGTTACTCAACAGTAAGTGGCAAAAATCAAACTTTGAGTAAGGAAAAAAATATGCAAGAATAAGCAGGAGTGTTGTTAGACCTACTCTACACAAGCAGTAAGTGTCTCCTTTGTACTGTAAAATAGGTAAATAAACTAAGCTGAATCAGAACAAGCTTCTGGAATAAATAATTTTCCAGAGGAGAATGCAAATGGGATCAGTTAGAAGACAGCTGTTGTAAGATAGCAGTCTTCAAGATTCTTGTCTCATCAGTACTGACTGTGAAACCATAGTCTACGTATTTTACCATTCCTTCCTATACCTGACTACTGCCATTCACAATGTAGGGAAGAAAAAAAAAAAGGGTGCCAAAGAAGTCTTCTTGTCTACTGAACATAATTGTTGGGAAGAGTTGGTACTGTCCTGTATCGTATCACTATTACAGTATGTAAGGGCTTGGAAATGTAGAAGGTTGAGTGTTTGTTGTCCATGAATTCTACCCTGTATGGTTATCATCAGTGTCTGCACCAAATCTGCAGAAATTTGAGTCTGCAGAGAAAATAAATCCTTCTAAATGGACGCCACATTTAATACCGTGTCCATAAATATATTTTCCTGTAAAAATTTCTGTTCTTCCATTGCCTTCTACATTCTTTACAGAGACAGATGGAGAGGTAGAACTTGCAAAGCAGGGATGAATGAGGAGATATGTGAGCCTGTATCCAAGCTTCAGGACAAATACTGTCTCTTCCACTAGTCTCAGATCAAAGAACTGGAGGACAGAAGGAAGACTTGCAGGTTATGTTGCAGATAAACTGAAGATGTGTGCAGAAGCAAGCTGTCAGTAGCATGTTTACAAAACAAGAAGTTAAATTGAAATTTTGAAGTCAGCCCAAAATTGAGATCTCCAATGCTTGGGCACATGTTTATCGTGTGTGCAGAACAAGGTTACTTTATGCTGGTCTTGTCAAACCTAGAAGCAGTTTGCAGCTTGTTTGAGCATTATGGTCTAGTATTCTAAGTATCACATCCAGAAAACAGTAGATTCATGCCTCTTGTCATTAAAGACCATGAATACTGGAAGAAAGTAAAGACTGACAGATATGAAGATAAATCATAGAATCACTGATGTTGGAGAAGACCTCTAAGAACAGCTAGTCCAACCATCAACCCATCACCACCATGCCTGCTAATCCATGTCCCTCAAGTACTGTGTGAGAAGGTTACTCTAGATCCAATAGATGTTTGAATTACTGTTTTCTATCATGTTCTCTCAGAGAATTTGAAAAAAGAAGACTTAAAATGAGTTTGTTCTACCTTGCATGGAAGGGGCAAACTTTACCTCATTAAATCTTTTGTATGTTTAATAAAATGTTTCAAGTGTTGCCCTCCTAGTGAGATGCTTGTGGTATACCTGAAGAGCATTCAGTATTTTGAAAGAGAAAATGTGATTGGGAATTTTTTTGATATGGTTTTCTGATTTAGTAGCTATATTTAGATAGAATGCCTGTGTGAAACAGTATTTACCAAGCTTTCTGCAGCAGCCACAAGCTACATTGGGCACAATATTGAAAGACACTCCACAAGAATCTGTTCCAGTTTTGACCAACTTGTGACAATTTTCTGTGGTTTAATACACCAAATTTTCTGAACTTCAGAGAAAACAGGTGCAGACAGAGCTCATCAGTCTCATTTTTGAGTTTTGCTAGATATGCAATCAACTCATCAGGGGGATTTGTCTCTTATATTGCATTGTTTCATCTTCCTTTTGGCCTCTCTTACTGGGTTATAGTATGTACAACAAGTGAGATACACTGCAGTCCAATGTAATATATTTATTGTGTATTATTCATCAAATTCAGAAGTAAAAGTACAGTACTTTGGCCCTATTTATGATTCAGATTTACATTTCATAGCTCTAATTATTTTGACAACTACCATAGTTAAGTCAGTTCCAGTCGTGCAGGAGACTTATAAGATGTATCTACAAAATATTGATGTATAGTGCAGGAAAAATGTAGCTATTTGAAGTTTTCTGACTGTGGTAAAGGAATGCTATTCTACAAAGTATCTAAAACCATTTGTGAAGCTGTAAAAATCTGACTTAAAAAAAAAAAAGGCAAATTTACAAGTGACTGGTGCTGTTCATGAAGAGCTGTCATTATACACTAGGAGCAGTCTGAATCTCCTTTGCGAAGATAGCTCTTGTAGGATATTGTATTCTGAGGTACTCCTCATTTCTGTAGCCAGGTATAGCCTAAATAACCAGCTCAACTGTGAAAGCAATGTCTCTGTGTGTTGTGACTTATAATGTAGTACATCAAGTATAATTGCATTTATAGTACTTAAGGAAGATACTGCTCTTGGGAATAACAACAAAAATCAGCTACAAGGAAGAAAGTCATACTTTGGAAATGAAAACTTGGGAGAAGAACTTCAACGCATTTGCTGATTGTTGCCAGCTGCCAGTATGATGGAAGGAAGTCAAATGGTACAGTGCAAATCCTGATGAAATGCTGTCACCAAAGTGAGACTTTGAGAGATGCAAGGCAGAGAATCACTGGGTGAAGCATGTGAAAGGGCTGAAGAAGGATTTAAATTGTTCAAGCTGATTGCACGAATGGGAAAAGGAATAGGAGCATTGTAAAGAAAATTATCCAGGAAGAGAAAAAAATCCAAAACACTAAAAAAAAAAAAAAATTGGTGTTGAATGTTAAAGCCATTATAATAGTAAAATCTCCTGTAGGAGTAATGGAGAAATTATGCTGACCTATTTCAGTGCTAGAGCACAATCAGCTTCTGCATGAAAACTCTTAATGTAGTCATGGACATTTGTACTTCTGGGCTTCCAAAGAGTGGGATACACTATCAAGAAAGGTTTGCTGTCAAATTTGAGGTTACTAGTCAGTCCTTTCTGATTAACAGTGTGAAATGTTGTGAGAAAAAAGATTTTAAAGGCCTGGTTCATGAATATATGCTTTGCATTTTTATTTGCCTGCAGGTGATCTGTTCAGTTATTATTTCATCAGTGTGACACTAGTCTTACTGCACTCTAATGACTAAGGAAAACTGCTGTAGTGCAACAGATCTAGGTAGATAACAAGACTTTCCCTTATTTCACAGGGGAGTAATAGGTGAGTTACGCCACTGCTCCATAACCCACTTGACTTATGCCATTCCACTGGCCATATAATCCAGTACAATGTGAACAGAAGTTCATGTTCAGATACTGTTCAGACATCTGTGACAGCAGAACCAACACCACTGACACAGTGTAGAAAATAGACAGAGTGGAAAATATCTTACTCAGTCAGTGTTAACCATAGCTCGGAAGGCGTGGATGTGGTGCGTGAATGTGTCAAGCCAGAATAGTACAAGAATGATAAAGAGACTTAATTCTTCCTACTAGTGTAAGATTACATGCTGAGATGGTGAGATGATGAGAGAAGTACATTTTCCCCTCTGCTTCTTGGCTGACAGAAGGCTTGAGCAGATGTGAGATGAACAAGGTAGGATATGGACTCTTGCCTTGACTTTCCAGGGGGATGGAAAGGTACTACTGAGTGTGGAGCCTGCAGTTTCTTATGGCCATAGCCTAAAATATGCTGAGTGAGGGAGTGGAGAGGAGGCAGAGAGGGAATTCTGGATCCGTTCCTTTGTAAACATGCTCTAGCAGCAAGGGGAAAGGAGGAGCCTGATAAGTACAGTGTGTGAGACTGATTTTTAGAATGTATATTGCTTTTACAGAAGAGGATGGGTGAGTCTTGGCAGAAGCTGAGCCACATGGTTGGTACAGTTTGACAAGATTTTCATCCATCTGTCCTCATTCAAAACTCTGGGTGACTGGTGTTTTATCAAGTGATTGGGCGACTTCATTTTTTATTATTATTTATTTTAATGAACTTGTTAGTACTTGAAAAGGTTGACGTACATTTTATGTTTGGAAGATTTGTATTTGGAAAACAGCCCTCTTCCTGGTTGTCTGAGCAATGGCTCTAGGTTAGTGAGCATGGTGGTGATGGGTCTACGGTTGGACTAGAAGATCTTAGATATCTTTTGCAATGTTAATGATTCTATGATTTTGTGATTCTATGAAGGTAGCATGGGCTTTGCTTTGTCTGTGTTGCACTCCATTATTCATTAAAGGGAAAAGTGAACTGCTTTTTTTTCTCCCCCCAGTCAAAAAGGACACCTACAAAAGTCTCATCTCTTTATACTGAAACCTATAAAGAATCACTGGAGCCTCTTGTAACTTAGAAATCAAACATATATTTTGTGCTGGGGCAAAACACTGAAAATATTGGAGGAAACAACCACTAAGCTTAATCACCAGCTATGGAATCTGAGAATACCCATCTTATATTTCCACATGCTCAGGACCCAACATAAACAAACATTAGTACTGTCTATTGCCTAAAAGAATGTGTCTATTTTTAGTCTGGATGGGGCTCTGAGCAACCTGATTGAGCTGCGTGTGTTTATTGCAGGGGAATGGGACTTGATGACCTTTAACGTTTCCTTCCAACTGAAATGATTCTATGATTCTCTGAGCAGAGGCAATATTACATTTATTTGCTGTACAGCAAAAAGCCTTTCTTACCTTCTTCTCGTGGAACCTGAATGAAATAGAATAATTACCCCAAGCTGCAGTAAAGAGAGTAAGTCTCACACAGGGGGAGGGTATAAAAGTTCTACTGCTCTTGAAATGTCTAGCATAAGCGGAGAGACCTGTATATCAGAACATCTATTGAAATGCTCTTATGCTTTTATGTAGTCAGAGTCAATATGCAGCCTGTCTTGTAAGGATTTCACATCCTTAGAGGAACCTTGGAAGAGGAGCTGAACCATGTGGGATTGGATATTGGATATGCTGAAGTGCTCTGCCTGCCTAGCAGGTCCAATGGGGATGTCACAGACAGCTCGTATTCATCAGGCCTACGTTTTTCACTATCTGCAAAGCCCCACTAGTGTTGCCAACAAGATTGAAGTGTGAGGGCACAGAAAGATAGTGTGTCACAGCCCTCATACAGTGCCTCTTCGCATCATGCAGAAAGTGACTAACGACTTGATGATCTTGAAGGTCTTTTCCAACCAGAGCAATTCTGTGATTCTATGATTCTAGGGATAGTAAGAACTTGCTGGGTATAGTGAATATTATTCTGTACTGAGAAGATGTATGCCTGGCTTACAGATTTTGGAAATTATGTACTCTTTTCACCCACCCAGTAGCAACACTTAGGAAAAAAAAAAAAAAAAAAAAGAGAGAAGAATATTCTACCATTCCTCCTCGTAAATGAAGCAAACTAAAAAGTCCAATGCATTTCTAAATGCAGTGCAAGTAAAGGATTTAAAGCTCAGAAAGCTTTGATTTTTTAGTAGAGGCAACCCTTTTTCCCCCTATCTTTTTACAAGAAAATTACCCGGAAACTTTGAACCTAAAGCAATTAAACCGAAAAAGGAAGGGATGATGACACTCAAGTAGAGGAAATTCCTGTAAAGGAAACAGAGTCTCAACAGTGTTCAGCTAAACCTTACCACAATTCGTACCACGTAGTGTAAAATGTGCAGGTAAGATTTTCAGATAATCTCTCCTTTTTTAATTCTAGATTTTAGTCTGTTCACCACTTATACCACTTACACCACTTACAGGTGAGTTAGTTTTACTGTCTTTTAATATGTGTTTTAAAGTAAAGTGTTCTTAATTACTTGAGCAAAAGAAAAAAAAAGCCTCAGTAAGTAGCTTCACTAGACTATATTTCACTTCATAGGCTTGGTGAAGTTTTTTCTTCTCTTGTGTGACTATTTGTAATCTTACATTTAGAATCAGATTATCAGATTAATCAGCCTTTGTGATGTAAATCTGTGACAACTGATAGAAATTGATAACTCTGAGGCTGAAGTGACTTTCATCAATTTTATTTTTTTCTGAGTGTCTTACAGGAGTTAAAACGTAGGCAAAAGGGAACAGCTCTTATTCTTCTCTTTTGCATTGTTTTACCATAGGAAATTACTTTAAAACCACATTAGCCTCCTTTGCATATGTGTTGATTTCCAGTGAAACAGCATCCTAAATTGCTGAACTAAGGATATGACAGTAGGGATGCACACATGGTTGGAGAAGACAGAGAGGTAGATAATGTTACCTAGGGAAAGACTGTATTGATTTTCCTGACAAATACTGGCAAGTCACTGAATATTTTAAGTCACTGAATCACCTTGAGTCCACCCACAGTGTAAACAAATATAGATGGTCATTTAAGATTATCCTTTTTCAAGAACCCCCTTCTTTTGGTAACTGTTGTTTGCTTTAGCTGTGAGTTTCCCTCTCCCTATCTAGCACATTTACAAGATCACACTTCTTAACCTCACATGCTGTCATGATGGCACTTCTGTAATAAGTGTTAACTCATGTTTGGTAGTGATGTACCTTATCACAGCTAGCAGAATACAACAGAGAGTTATGCAAATTGCTGACCAAAGCTATTAACTTCATTTGTTAACCCTCCTTTTCCCACTTCTTCCCATTCACAGTGACCCTTTGTGACCTGAGGGTTGTTAGCATGGAATTAAACTGGAGAACATAGACATTATCATTTGTCATTTGTATTACTAAATGCTTTGTGTTGCTTCATATGGTTTTGCTACATATAACCTGCTTGTCCCTGTTTACGAACAAAGGAATAGCTGGAAAATCAGCAGTCCCAGAGCTTAACTTCTAATGGCTTAGCAAATTGAACTGAGACATGAAAGAGAACTGCAGCTGTCACCATAGAGGGGCTGGACCATTTGTTTAGGGTGAAGAGAGATGAGTGTGCTAGGACAGAATGACAGATGAGACCACCTCTCTTTGGCAACAATGACCCATTGCATCAACTTTCCTGCTCAGGGGGGTTCAGCACTGAATCACAAACAAGGCTCTTGGGTTCTGCTAGCAACTGGCACCAGTATGCTTTTGCCACATGGACTGTTGGGTGACATAACTCAGAACATGATCTTTGCTGTATACAGAGTTGCAACACTAATGGATGCTTTGAGAGAGATCTTTATGACTGCCTTAAAACAGATCCAAGAGAGTCAGGATCCATTCATTCTTATGCAGTGGATAAAAGTCTTTCTAAAATTTAGGAGGGCTTGCACCCAGTGAAACTGTCTCTTTATTCAGATTGACTTACTGGCTTGGAGTTTCAGTATGTTTTTAAGGTGTATACGGGGTAATGGCATTTTGACGGTTGATTTGATGGTCTATAAGAAAGCACCAGGATGGGTTAAGGCAAACAAATGAGCCTACCCTTTATGACCTCTGAGTGTAAAAATAGATTGTTCCACTCACTTGTAGGGAATAGAGACGTCTTGAACAGAACAGTGACTAAAGTGCTCCTCTCTATGTGGGTTAGGTTCCTGAAAAAATGTAGTGTGAGTTTTCCTTATCTAGGCAGCCAACTCATGGTGCCCTGGATGATCTCTTGATGCCTGCCTGTTTGAATTGTGTCTAATTTGCATGAGATGCTCACAGACTAGGGACTAGCCCTTGCCTGACCTTTTTTTCCCTCAGGCTGACTCAGTGTCTTTCTAGCCACTGCGTAAATGCAGAGTCACTTAACAGCCCAAAGAGCAAAGAAAAATTATTGAGGTCTAAATTGCACAATGTGAGCACCAGCAAAGGGTGTGTCTTTACTCGCTGAGATCTTGAATGAGGAACATCAGTGTTGGAGATGTTCTAACTAGATATCCAAATTCATCTGGGGCTGTTGAAGATGAATGCTGGACAACTTGCCTTCTCTTTAGCCCCACAGCTGGAAAGGCTGTGGGACACAGCTCAAGCCTCTGTGTGGTAGAGGCAGAATAATTCATGCAAAAGGGTTCGGGGTTTCACTTTGGCGAGGAGGCTGCAATGTAAGACTCTTGAGAGCTTTGTGGACCTTCTCCCAGACCTCCTGGATGTTAGAAGCTCCCCACTTTATGCTCACAAATGGCACAGCACAGAGCTGACACCTAACGATGGTGTGGATGTTGCCCTGTTCTGCAATTCTCTAAGGTCATTCAGGCAGCACAGCGCTGTGATGCAGAAGATCTGTGTATATGTAATGCTTACCTGTACTGCATATAAGATGTATGATAAATATATCATTGCAAGATATTTTGAAGAGGTTTTCTGTATTCTTGTATACTATTTATCTTGCATTTGTGTGAAATGATAAGAGCAGGAAGAGCACTGCGAACCTCATTTTTAAAACACACTATCTACAAAATACTGTCTGCTATTGTTCATAGAGCTACACAATGAGTTACATATTTAACCACCTGTCTTATCATTTTATTATTTGCAAAAAAAGTCTGTTTTTCTCTTTTACAGAAAGCAGGATGGTTCTTAAAGAAAATATCTCAGAATACCAACCAAAATTAATAAAGAAGATGATGCTTACTTTTTCCTGGATTCTAGCATTTTATGGAACAGAAGTTAGAGGGATTAATTTGCCAGGTAAGAAATCCGCTTTGGTGGGTTTTGGTGGTCGTAATACTTGCTGAAAACTTAGAGAAGCAGATCTACTTCTAGCCACGACTTCATGAGATGTAAAGGAGAATTTCTGGTAACCTAATGGAAAATATTAGTGGTTTTTATGACTCCCTGAAGTCTCCAGCAGCTGGTCCAACCATAGGGGAGGTGGAAAACAAGGCTGGGTGAGATCAATATATCAGAGCTTTCCATTCATCTGTCTATCTGAAAGAACTTACTTAATTCCAGTTGCAGAGAAACCAAAACTGCAAAGGATTTCCCACTGGGGCGTGTGAGAAACCAAACAGTTCATGTGTTCCCTTCTACTGATATGAAATCCTGCCACCCTTCTTTCAGGGGTTACTACATCCATTCTACTAGGAGGTTGGTCAGCCTTTTGAGAATCCGGGGTTGGGATGTGCGACCACAGCAATCAGAATCTGAAAATTCATTTCATTTAGACATAGCAACTGAAATGTACGAGGGCAAAGATTTGAAAGCAATGAGATGATAATGAAATGTTTGTCAGTCTTACTTTAATTAGGGAGTGAGGCAGGCAGGCTCTCCTTCTTCACGTTTGTCTCACTCCCTTCTGCATTAATATGAGGGAAGCTAGAAGAGCTACACTTTTTTTTCTACAGAGCGGAGGAGGTTTAACAGATTAGCATCCACATGAAAATCTTTGGTTCACTAAAAATCTTCAGCTATTTTCATATTAAGCATTTTGAAAAAAATGTTTTGAAAAAAACATTTGGCAACAACTTTTGAGCAAGTCTTTGAGAACTTTGATCAATTCCATGTTTTAGAAAATTATTTGGTCAAAGTTGGTCATTAGTCCGAAAGTCACATGAAAAAAAAAAACTATTTTTTTCAGTATTCTTTTTTTTTTTTTTTTTAGACATGACTGCTGTGTGTGCTTTTCAGGTGGTACTGATATGATATTTTCCTACTTTTCAGGATGTTCCTATGTAAAGCCTCAAGTATGGTATCGTGCAATTAGTGATGAAGAGTTTGTTTTACAATGTGCTTTGCCACGTAAAGATGCTACCAACATTTATAACAACTCAGCTCTAAAGCAACATGAGGTGAAATGGTTATGGTGTCAGAAAGACAAAGGACATCTTAAAGCTGTTGAGGAAAGCTCTGACGTTACTCTGCAAGGGGATGCACTTTGGTTTAAACCAGTAAAGGAGAATGCTTCTGGAATCTACATCTGTATGATACAGTATGTAATGGGGAAAAGGGCTTATATTTCTAGGTAAGAATTGATGTATTTATTTTGCTTTTATATTAAAAGTTTAACTTTTTTTTTCTGTATCACTCAGTGAAAAAATCCCGTGTCTCAAAATTGTTCTGGAGGTTCAGACAAAGGCAGAGGCAAAATGTGCAGGCTATGGTACAAACACACTGCATCTTCTTGCTGGCAGTGGGAATTCAATAGCTTGTCCTGGGACAAAATGCTACAGCCATATAGATAAAGTGGATGTAAGATGGTACAAGGTAAGAGTCAGTCCTTTAAGTATTCAGAAGCACAGTGGAAGTACGGAATTCCGCATATTTTCTTTTCAACTAATTGTAGTAATTGAGAATAAAAATTGGTTATTTACAAAATTGACACTGCTGAAATTTAAAATTTTAAAGTTCTGTTTTGATTTTAAATTCTGAAAATATCAAACATATGAAAGAAAAAATTAGCTATGTTAGAAACAAATTTATTTTAATAATAATATTTCAAATGATTCTTTCCAAGAATCTGTTTCTAATGAGGCACCATCCCACAGAGAAATTACTGATTTAGTCTTTTTCAAATGACTGCTAAATTACCTTCAAGCTAAAATTTATCCCTACTTCGTCTGTGATAATTGTAATATGCTACAGAATCATAGGGTCACAGTATCACCAAGGTTGGAAAAGACCTTCAAGATCATCTAGTCCAACCATCCACCTATCACCAATAGTTCTCATTAAGGTGAAATAATACTACAGTCACTAGTAGTTATTATACTTACTAATAGTTCCATCTAAGCTTGTACTATATAAGCAAACAAAAATAACTGAAAATTCAACTGTTCATTTTACTACCTGGTACTATTTACAGTATTTATTCATCAAGCAAAATGATCATCCAGTCAAAGTTACTCTTCATTTACTTCCAAGCTTTATATGAGGTATGTCTTTACCTCATTTTGCATTTGTCTTAAGGAAAATTCCTAGTACCCCTAGAGATGTTAACTAAATAAAACTGTGAAAACTAGGGGCACTTTTCAAAAAGCAGTATTCATCCTTTTGAAAATAGTGACAATACTATCAATCTATACAACCCAAAACCATATTTTTTCCTATAAAATGTTGTGGAACTGGTTTCAAATATCATTTATTTATGAAAATAAAAATACCTACTCCGTAAATGTACAAAGCAGTGATCCTTTTCTTTGACCTTTAGTAATGTGAATTAAATTCATAATTTTTTCATTATTTTACATATCTCTCAGCAGCCACAAAAGTTAAATTGTTGTTGTTGTTTTTTAACATGTACTGATATTCACATATTATAGCCCATGATTTTTATAAATCTAAATAGCAGAAAGTTTTTGTTTTCAGTGAAAAGAGTTTGGCTTAACCCTACTGTTACTGTCATGGCAATTCCATCCAAGTATCTTATAATATAGTTTAACAGCAGCAGTAACAACTACAATAAGGATACATTTAATTATTTGATACTATTTTATTGTTGTTAGGATGGCCGTCAGATAGAATACAGGAAAACCAGGAAAAGCCTAAAGTTTGTGGATAATGAAATCTACTTGAAAACAACTTATGTTCAAGACGCTGGAATATACATATGTGATTACACCATATTTGACAACACTACTCAATGGACAATGAGAACAGCAGTTACAGTAGAAGTCGTTGGTGAGTAATATTTTAACTGTTATAAAATATTTCAAAAATATGTTTTCCCTATTCTTTAGTACTCTATTAATATATTTTGTTCAGGATCTTGTTCTGAAAAATTATTAACTAGACTAGCTACACTTTCATTAAAATTCACTTCCAAGTATTCTGAGGACATCTCTGGGCAGTGTCTAGGACCTTCAGTGTTTAGTAATAAATTTAGTAATACCATAGATGTCAAGATCTTATTCTGCCTTGATTCCTAACAACGGGAATCAAATCTACACAAGGTTTTAAATCACTTAATCTGAGAGTAGAATTCATGAAACCACTGCTGGTGCCAATGTTCTCCATGCACTGTGTGTGCAGTGTTAGAAAGATATTTGAATACCAAGATGGAAGAATGCTAATCTTGCTTGGCAGATGTGGAATATAATGCTGTATCTCATTCCTACACGTGTCCTGAAGTGGTGGCTTGAGTTAAAGTACGAGTTAGAGAATTCCCTTCTACAGTTGGATGACACGGTATTTTCTTCTGTAATGCATGAGATCTTCATTTTTTCACTTAAAAATGGTGATGTGATGTTTTGTATCAGAGGAAATACGGGACCTGAGAGCAATCTAACAACAAAGACAACAAAGTTCTTTGTTTTTGCATGCTATCTGGGGACAGCATCACTGCCTGTATGACCTGTTCTTTCAGGCCTTGTCTTCTAGGCTGGAACACCAGCAATGTGACACAGCTGCATCTATTTTGTATTCAGAAGTAGAGGGGTTGCAGCTTTCTCTGCTTCAGCGTAGTTCAAAGTTAAAAAAAAAATAAAATAGTGTTTGTGCGGCAGCATTTCAACATTTCCTGTAGTATGGGATTTCCCAAGAATATCAGAGCCGTGCATTTTAGGCCCTTCATGCCACGTTCTCACAGCCTGGGTACCTGTTTATCACACTGCACAAACTAGGTGTCATTATCCTTGCTATTTGTCAACTCCTGCTTAGAAAAAATTCTAACAATGTGGTATTTTAGTGCACGTACTTGTGTTGTGTATTTAAAGTGTGAATAAGGAGTTAGTGCATGCTTAGTGGATGTGGAATGGAGCTTGGCAGGGAATGTGTATGGGGATTGGGTACCACAGGGGATTTTGCAAAGGGGATCCTTGTTTCTGAATCCCAAATTACCTCAGGTGCAGTGCTGATGCTGAGCTCCCCAGTTCATCTACTGACATAGCGGTTTAAGTATCTATATAAGTTTTGTAGAGAAAGCTTTCATACTGTGAATTCTCAGACAGCTTAACAACCATAAATCATCCTCTTGGACTGTAATGTCAAAATTCCACCTAACATCAAGAGAAAGATATACCTTTGAAATATTTTCTCTGGTCTTTGGCATTGGCAATAGCACTTATTAATAGCAGTCCTGTTAATTGCAGCAAAAAACACTATCCATCCACCAAACATTTTGCATCCCAGTGGTGTGGCGATTCTTGAAGCAGAACTTGGTAAGTTTATTCTTTCTCTGATAGTGAAAGAAAATGTTCAAATGAGCAAATTGTAGATGATGATAAACCTTGATAAAATAAAACAGCTTTGCTCTCTTGGAGCTTTGCTCTCCAGAGAATTTTCTATAATTTTTTTTCTTAATTAACGTATTAGTGAATATTAAAATAAACATTATATATTACATGTATCGCAGTCTACTAAATAGTGTGACCTTCATTCACGCTCTTCCTGTATTAATTTGTTTCAGGAAAACCCCTTGAATTGGAATGCCGTGTACAGTTTGGGTTTGAAAGAGGTACTCAGAAAAGAGTAATATGGAAAAGAGACAATGAAAATATAAATGAGAAATTGAACCAGGAAACAAGGTAAGAAAGCAATACAATAGCAGTGTTACTATGCTGTTGGCAACTGTAAAAATCCTTCCACAAGAACTTTACTTAATATGTAATTTTACTGAAGGGAGCTCAGAACCATCTGTCCTTCAACATGTTATAGTGCCTGTCCATGAGTACATTTACATACAGAAGCACATGTTCAAAATATGATATGGCCATAAACTCAAGAATTCAGTATTTTCTGTGTAGTCTTAACTCTTTTTTCCCAAAGCTTTATCTCACAGGGAATTTCAGCATGAATGGTGCTTGGCCCCTTGTGCCTGCATCAGCTGTGTGCCTGTGTGCTCTGTTGTGCCTTGCTGACAATTCACTCCATCTCTATGAAAATTGTCTCTAAGTGGGGAATAAACTGGATCCAGTGAAACAGTACTGTATACCAGTTCTCTGTGACATAGAATTGTGTGCCTCAAAAGCTGGGTTTTTTTTATTGAGTTATGTACATTAGGTCAGACTGGGGGCATGCAGAAATGAATTTCAGACCCTGCAAGTCTTCCCTGGCAAGAATTAACTGGACTCCACACGGAAGTGACATGCAGGGGAAAGGTTTCCTGTGACCTTAAAGAATGGAATAGAATAGAACAGAACAGAATAATTAATTAGAAGGGACTTTCAAAGACCAATGAGTCCAAACTGCCTGACCACATCAGGATTATCCAAAAATGAAAAGATATTATTGAGGGCGTTATCCAAATGCCTCTTGAACACTAGCAGGCATGAGGCATGAACCACCTCTCTAGGAAGCGTGTTCCAGTGTTTGAACTCTCACAGTAAAGAAATTGTTCCTAATGCCCAGCCTGATACCCCCCTGGTGCAGCTCTGTGCCGTTTCCCTTCTGCCGTCAGTGGCCAGGAGCAGAGCCCCAGGCCTCCCTCTGCTTCCCCTCCTCGGGGTGCTGCAGGGAGCAATGAGGTCAACTCTTGGCCTTCTTCTCTCCAAAATGCGCAGCCCAGTGCCCTCAGCCTCTCCTCACAGGACATGCCCTCAGCCCTGCCACCAGCTTTGATGTCCTCCTCTGGGTCCTTTCAAGGATATTAACATTAATAGCATACAATACACAAGATGAGGCTGCACCAACCCTAATATGTAACAGGAGAATCACTTCTTATTACTGGCTGGCTATACTGTACCTAATGTATGCCAAAATACAATTTACTCTCTTGGCTACCAGTGAAGGCTGCTGACTCATGTTGAGCGTGCTGTCAGTTGAGATGACTTGAATTGTCTCCATGCCTCCCTTTCCTTCCTGTATTTTCCTGTCTCATTCAGTTATACAGTGTCCAACTTGGGCAAGAAATCTATGCAATACAAGCATATATTTTACTGCTCAGTTCTGAGTCATAGAATCATAGAATGGTTTGGGTTGAAAAGACCTTTAAGACCATCTAGTACCAGCCACCCTGCTATAAACCATTCTCAAAAGAGCTTTAGCACATGTTGAATCCTAAAATTAACTGCCCATATTCATGCCCACGACTCTTGGGTTAGTGGAGGTAGCTCATTGTCACATTGGCACACTGGCCAGCAGTGACATGACATGAGGAGTACTTGAGATGACCCACAGACACATGTACTATGGCTTCCAAAGAGAAACACTGAGACTCAGAAGCACTGGGTATTCCTAAGAGTGCCCAAAAGGCACTTTTGTCACCATTTCGTTTTCTGTTCTTCAGTTCCTCATTTTTGTTTTATTCTATTTGCCTGTCCTGTCCTTGGGACTTGTATACCTTGGAAAGAGATGGTGCTTTTCCATCTTTTTTCTCAGCTTGTTGTCTCTCAGGGCTCCTTTTTGAAGCTTAATTTCTCTACATTTGTCCTGCGGGGGGTGTTCAAAGTCTTAGGAAAATTCAAATAATCTTACTGAAGTACAAAAGACCTACATATTTAAAGCTAAGCAAGAGATTAATTATTTTGCTGAGTTTTGATGAAATAAGAATAAACTTTTCAGTGTGCAAACCTTTGCTGTCTTTATCTTCTTATGATGCAAATAAAACACAAATGGAGGCTCCAAACCAGGGTTATGCATCTCTGTTAAAACTTCAATTTAAATGTTCAGAATTTGCTAAGATCTTCTTTCTCTGTATTTGAGATGTTTGGGGATTGTATGAATGAGCTGCAAAGGTGTCACACAAATATATACTTTTTCACTTAAGTGTTTGCCCAAGATGTTTAAAGGGACATGTGCTTCATCATGTTGCTAAACTGAAAGAAGTTACTGAGAAGGACCTAAGAAGCAACTTCATCTGCTTTGCTCAAAATTCTGTGGGGAATGCTACTGCTGTGATCCAACTGAAAAAAAAACAGAGAGGTAAGAACAGATGGAGGACTGCTTGCCCTTAAAGATTTGCATGGGATGTTTCTGTTTTCCCAATCCTTAGCATGTATGTTTATGCTGTACCTGATATGAATATGGCAGCCTTTCAAGCAAAGGCCAAAAAGAGAATCAGTGTGGAAATTAAACCATTCTCTCATTTGAACCATAGCTCACAGTGGACATTCATCACTAGGATGGCACAGGAAGTCTCCAGCAGGGTTCTGTGTGCAGCTATGTGTATATTTCCCATTTTAAGCAGTTTTTGTTTTCAGTCCCACTGAGTGTACGTTAGACCATTTTCTCTATACCTTTCATCTCAAATTGGCTTTTCGTACTAAGAGGGAGATACAGTTCAAGCACTATCCCTCATAGTAGACTGAAACACTGTGCTGAAATTTGCAGATAAATGAATTCCTGTCTTCTCTAAAGCTTGCTAGAAGGGAAGGAATGAAGATTGTGAGCTTCTTTTGTGAACGGAGCTTTTTATCTAAGTTGGAAAGTCTGACTTACAATAAACCCTTTTCTTTCTACAGTGTTTTTCTTGTACATACTGTGCAGTGCCATTTCTATTCTCTTTGCATTTCTTTTGTGCACTGCCTTTATTTATCAGCACTGGATTGAAATAGTGCTGATGTACCGAAGCTATGTGGCCCACAATGAAACTACAGAAGGTAAGAAATATGGTATAAAATTACTATTCTTCACTTTTATCCTATTGTCTTTTGTTCTCTGAGTTAACCTGGTGTGGGCTAACCCATTAATTCAACTCTCTTAATAACCCTGTTCTGCAGCTCCGAAAAGGACCTGAGGGTCCTGATGGACACCAGGTTGAACATGAGTCAACTGTGTGCCCTAGCTGCTAAGAATGCTTAGTATTCTTGGCTGCATTCAGCAAAGTATTGCCAGCTGATCTTTCTGCTGGCAAGAGGTGATCTTTCTGCTTCAGTCAGCTTTGGTGAAGCCTCACTTGGAGCACTGTGTCCAGTTCTGGCCTTCCCAGTATGAGGGACGTGGATGTACTGGAGAGAGTCCAACAGAGGGTCACAAAGATGATCAAAAGAGTAGGTTTTCCTCTGAGGAGGGACTGAGAGATCTGGACATGTTCAGCCTGGAGAAGAGGCAATTCAGGGCGATCTAGTCAATGTGTACAAATACTTGAGAGTAGGGTGTACAAAAGTTGAAGCTAGGCTCTTTTCAGTGGAGTCCAGTGCCAGGACAAGAGGCCATGGGCACAAACTGAAGCACAGGGGGTTCCCTCTGAACACAGGGCAACACTTCTGTACTGTGCAAGTAACAGAGCACTGGCACAGGCTGCCCAGAGTCTGTGGGGTCTCCTCCTTGGAGATGGAGCCAACAGCTGCCTGGCCACAAACCTTGGCACCCTGTTCTGGGTGGCCCTGCTGAGCAGGGCCAGAGGGACACAGAGGGCCCTGCCAGCATCAGCCATCCTGTGGTTATGTGAAATAAGATAATGAGGAACACAAGCTTAGTGCACTTTGAGGCAGTTTTTGCTTTCTGGAAGTTACGTTGACTATCACGATTTTACATCAGTGATCAACTTTTTCAAATTCCAAGTCTCTGTAGCAGCACTGCCACATCATTTCAGCTAAAATGGGCCTCCGACATATTAGGTAGCAAAAAATGTATCAGAAATCACAGTGCCCACTTCAGTGAATTTAGCATTTAATTTTCTCTAGTGGATTTAAATAAATCTGATGGAAATTACCCAAGGAAATTTTTATAAAAATCCTTGAGTCTTGATGCATCTTGAGACATATAATACATGAGTTTACTTTCATGTTTCCATAGGTGTATTTCAATTATGTGTGAATACCAAATACATTTATCTATGTATCTATTAATACATAAATGGTGAAACAATTGACTGCCTTTTTTGGAAAGTATTGTTGTAAGCTCTAGGACATCTGTCAGAAGTTATTTGGGAAATCACTTAAAATTTCCCCTCTGCTTGGTAGCAGATTGCTTTAAGAACCTCTGGAAAGTCCCCTTCGACCTTATAATATTTGTCAGCAGGACAGAGACAGGCCTGGCAAGATTTTTACATTGAAGTTTAAGACCCTTTTGTATCTCTTGCATCTTCTGTCCTACTCCTTGACTCCAGTGTACTGCATGTGCACAACCCCATTTATGACATGGGGGGCATGAAGTGTGCAGACTAGATATGCCTATTCAGCAGGTTTTATGCCTGAAGATGACTCACCCCAAAGATGTTCTCACCCCAAAGATGTTCTCACCTCATATGGATGTCTATCAATTTACTTGAGATTTGAAATGGTTTGCTCATAAAGCAAAAAAGCAAAAATTTGATGTCATTTTGCCATTTCTTCCTTTCCATCATTCCTTCTCTCCCACTCCTATTAGCACAGCATTAGAAAATTGCAGAACCACAGAAGCTGGTAGGGACCCTGGAAGTCATTTAATTCAAGTTACTGCTGAAAGCAGAGCCAGCCTAGATTGGATGGCTTTGGACCTTGTTCATCCAAGTTTTGCATGCCTCAAGAGATAGACAATTCACAACATCTCAGAACAACCTGTTCCAGTGCTTGACCATTTTTGCAGTGATAAGTTTTTTTACTAACTTCTAATGGGGATTTTAATTATTGCTGCTTGTATTTGTAGCCTTCTCTGCTATCGCTCTGGGCCTCAGAGAAATCTCTCTCCATCATCTCTGTACCCGTTCAATAGTTAGCTAAAAACAGCAGTAAGCTCATTCTTTATCTCACTCCTTTCTAACCCTTGATCTTCCTCCATAGCTAATTAAGATATACTTCTTAAAAATCTTGCCTCTCCCACAGGGAGAAAGAAACAGTGAAGAAGCTGGGGAATTAACGTTTATAGACAAATTTTACAGTAACTTTGCTTAACTAACATCATTTCCAACATTTTGAGCATCTGAAACATATGTCCCAAAAATTTCTCAGGCTGTACTGAGAAACTCTTCTGTACTGTTCTGGAAAAAAATATCCTAATTGTGCTAACTATGTATGCATTTTTTAAATTGTTTTTGCAGTAGTGATGCTAAAAAGAAAAGCAACAACAACAACAAAAACCATTATGTTTTTATCAATGGTGGTTGTCTAATAAGATTGCAGTGACCTCTATGGGTGAAATGAGGAAAATATCTGGCTTGTTCTGCAAAGAATTCATTGTCATTTAAAAGTGGCAAAGGATCTTTAGATCAGGGTGTAGCTGGACATTTCAGCTAAACCAGTCTAGTGACCCACTGCCCCACCTCCAAGCCATGTGTGTTTGCTGTTGCTGATTCACTCTTTTTGGCCTACATTGGCTCAAGTTAGCAGTAAAATAGCCCAGCAGAAGGTAATAGATAACTAGAGAGCTAGTTCTGTGGTACGAACTTCTGTTACCACAAGACTTTCAACACTCTTACAAGGAAATGGCAGAAGTGTATGGCCAGGAACACTGGGGATAGTCTCAGCCTCTAAGCTGAATTTTCCAATTTTCACGCCCATGTTTTCTTTTGATAATATACTTTCTGTTATCTGCTAGTTATGAATGTAGTTGTTCAACCCCAACTCATGCGGGTCATTAATTTTCCACATGCATTTCCTTTGCTCCCAGGGTTCCATATGATTTCTTCTGATCCTTATGATCCTAATCTAACACCTAGGGTTAGAAATCACAATGTTAGCATGGAGAGATAAGATTCAATGCTATTACCTATGTGACTGTGCAGGGATTAGATGTCTCAGTTCCCGTTCTTTGAAATGAGATCAACATGGTGAAATCTAGAGAGCTTTTCAGCTCATTCTGCAGAAACACCCCATGCTGAACAGCTGAATTACTTTATGGTTCCTCTTGACTATACTGACATGGAATATGAATCAGCTGATCAAATAAAGATATCTGCTGTCATTTGACTTGCCTGAGAATATCCTACTATTCCAAAATATTTGGGTCTCCAATAGCGCCTATGTAAAATTTGGCAATCTCATCAACCAACCTCAGGGCATCTCAAATGGCATTAGGAGCATTCATATTCATATTCATATTGCACTGAGATCAATGTGCCTTTTGCATCATGAGCAATTTCTTACGTTCTCTTTCATCTTCCCTCAAGTGCAGCTCAAATTTCATTTAGCAAATAGGTTTCTTTTGTTTTGTTGATAGGAATGGGTAAAATCTGGGGCATTAGTACCAGAATGTTTCAGAGCTGAGAGTTCTTTACGTATTCAGCAGTAGCACTTTGCAAACATTCTTTAAATGCGACTGGAGCAAAGTTCAGGAGCTGGATAGTACTCTGTTTCTGAGCTCATATTTGAATCAGATTTAATCTTTGCCACTTCCGCCCTTCTCTCTGATTAGAAATAGCAGTGTATGAAAAGAGCATATCTTTCACAACAGCTAACATCCAGGGACGTTGTGCCTCCCAGCTTTTTAAAGTAAAATTCACTATATTTATAAAGCAGATTGTGCATTTGTGACTATCTTTGGACTCAGCATTCGGGTGAATGACAGAAAAGGTTGGGAATCATTTCCTAGAGCATAGGATGTTCCTGGGAGGTGCCAGATCTCCCACTGGTTAAAATTGGCACATAGATGTAAAAATACAAAAAAAAAAAAAAAAAAAAAAAAAAAAAAAGAAAGTGCCTAATTTAAACTTTCTTGCATTGGTCATCTGCAATGTCCTCATTTACTTTGGTAGCAGATGTCTACAGAGAAGAAAATGGAGAGACGAGTTTGGTTTTGTGTAACTGAACTGCTGTTCTTCATGATTGCTTTATAAGTTTCAGTTTGTGTTGGGTCTGCTTAAATAGGTAGCAAATGTATAGAACATAAGCGGAAATATTGCATTAAGTAAGAAGCTGAATACTTCAGACACCTGTTAATGTATGCTGTGTTACTTATATATATATATTTATTTCTTTTAGATGGCAAAGAATTTGATGCCTTTGTATCCTATGCAAAAACAGACTCTTCTGAAAGTAACTCTGCTTTTATTAGTGAGGAAAAATTTGCCCTGGAGATCCTTCCAGACATGCTTGAAACCAAATACGGATACAAGTTATGCATTCTTGAAAGAGATATTCTTCCAGGAGGAGGTAAGGTTCCTGTGGTTGGTAGAAAGTCTTCAGTTCCTTGTAACATTATTTTCTTTCCTAGAAACCTTATGCACTAGTTCAACAAATGGTATGTTTTGGCACAGGAGTTTCTGCTCATATCTTGCCATGTTTGGTCTTTTTACCTGGTCTCTGCAACCAAGGAATGTTTGAGTGTGGTTGTTGAGGAGGCTCTGGGCAGCCTGATCTAGTAGTTGGCAACCCTGCACATAGCAGGGGATTTGAAACTAGATAGTCATTATGATCCTTTTCAACCCATTCCATTCCTTTCCTTTCCATTCTATAAGGTACTTGGCTGAGACAGAGCTTCTCATCCAAGAATTTATTCAGAGGCAGACTCCATTCTGAAAAATGAATACCCTGAATTTTTCATTAGTTACTTTCTGACTCACCTTGGTCAGTGCCACTAGCAATAACTGGAAGTCCTGAGTATCCCTGGGAGAGACAGACAAATCCAAGTGTCCTTTGATAATTTGCTTGAACGTGCTGTGGTTGTGATTTCAGCTGTGCCCTCCACCTTTTGAGCATGCAGTTCTGTTCTCAAAGTTGCATAAAAATGGCAGAGGTACCCTCTGATCATGAACAGTTTTAAGGTTAATGTGGTTGCTCAGCACTTCTATTTCTGGTTTTCTGTATTTCTGGTGATTATCCATTCTTAAATGAACTGATTTGGATAAAAAGTCCAATACACTTTGCAATAGCAATTGTAATTTCTTCTCCAGCATACACAGATGAAGTTGTTACAGCTATTAAACAAAGTAGAAGAACAATCATTATTCTGAGCCCAGCCTATGTCAGCGGACCAAACATCTTTGAACTGCAGGCAGCAGTGAACTGTGCACTGGAAGACAAAAAGATCAAGTTGGTTTTAATAAAGTTCCAAGCTTTCCAGGAGCCAGAGACCTTGCCTCCAGTAGTTAAGAAGGCTCTTCGGATTTTACCAGTCATTACCTGGAAGCCTTCTATTTCTACTGCTCCAAACAAAAAGTTCTGGAAATACATGCACTACCACATGCCCGTGAATACCACTAAGGCGTTGCGAAATTGCAGCCTAAAGGGCTTTTTCCAAAGGTTATTCAGCCTGGTACATCGATAGCATAAATTTCACAGAGGAATGACTGCTATCTCAGGAGTTAATGGATTTAAACTTTTTTTTTTTTTTTTTTTTTACATCAGCAGACTAGCAGACTACTCTGGACTGTCACTTGAGCCAGCAGTATCTCACTCTAGAACTCTGAGAAGGGCTGCAGTGCAAACATGCACACAGCAAAACTATGTGGCACTTCTCACACATGTATATGTAAGCTATCTTTAGTAAGTTATTATTAGGATATTTATTATGTTGTTTTGCAATGATGTTGAGACATGCAAATGTTCTTCTCTTTCCATTGTTTTTCTGTTGAAGCATTTTCATACTTTTTTTTTTTTTTTTCCCTAGAAAAAAAGATTAAAAAAAGAACTGAGAAATCTTGTAGTTTAATTTTCTGCGCAGTTCTGCAGGACAAATCCAAGCTCTATATGTGAGTTATCTCTTCCTTGGAGAATACCGAGGATGAAAGCTCTAGGATGCTCCCACATCTAGGTATGCTGAAGGGTTTGAGACAAGGAGGAATGCTGTGTCAGGGCTGATCCCAGGAACTACTATCCTTCATGAAGTGGGATAAGGCATTTCTACCAGCTCTGAAACATTTTGCACTCAAACAGTTTGCATTCTGCTGATCCCATGCGGCAAGGGTCACTCATGCATTCTACCAAAACTGCTGAACATCATGGCACTAAATCCCATGATTTTCACAGCTAGTGGGCTTCCAAGGGCTCTGAAACATCTGTTTTTTTCTTGAAGACCTCTGCCAAGGTTCATACCACATACCACTCAAAGCAACTTGCAATCTGTGTGTATGGCTATACCTAAGCAAAATGCAGTGGTTCCTGTTCAGAAGAAAATCTTCTTCTGTTGTCTTCTTTTGGACTCCAAGTGGTCAAATCAGATCAGCTGAGATAACCATCCTTTTTTTTTTTTTTTTTTTTTTTTTTAAAAAAAAAAATAACGTTTGTTATTATGTGCCAAGTGAAATACATGCCTTTAAAAGAGGTAACAAGTTTCTAAAGGAGAATGTAATTTGCGTGGCCCTCCACCAGATGTCCCAACTGCAAACCCTGCCGATCACGTTTATTTGCACACCGAGTGGTTTTGTTACAAGGTGAGACAGAAGCAGGGAGCAGTGCCAAGAGTGGTACCTGCAGTGCAGCTGCTCTAGGGAGGCAGACAGGGACTGAAGGAAGCAGAAGAAGGCATGGAGCCTGTCCTGCCCATCTGATACTGTTTTCCTATGCTACCCTTACTGCCTGAACAGTGCACATCGGTGATTTTTATAGTTATTAGTGGGAAAAATATCAGAGAGGCTGGAAAAATAATGTGTCCAGAAAGCTCGTTACTTTTCAGCAGAGTGATGCTGTGTCTGGGGTTTATCTGGGTCTGAGGAACCTGCAGAACTGGTATCTTCATATAAACTTCAGCTTCATCTGTAATACGAGGAGCAGTGCAGGTACGTTAGGGCTTTTAAAAGGGCCTCTAATAAGAAACTGAAGGAGTAGTGAGGAAGAAATGACTGTGGCTATGAGCAGTGGGAATTAACAGGTGTGAGTGTTGTGTGCTTTCTTGCACCCCACTATATGCTCTATAACAGATAGCCACAGCCCTCAACATGGGCTCTCCTGCCTTTGAACATACGAAGATGCTGAGTTACTTGCTGTCACTGTTGACTCTGGCATGCCCTTCTGCTGCTGCTTATTTGGATGAGCCTAGCCTGGGTAGTAGTTTGTTCCCTCACTATGAACATGATCGTGCTGATGCTGTTGACTCTTCACAAAATAAGAGGCTGCAGGTTTTCACAGTGGACTACAACAATGTGCAGATTCCATATGAAGTCACTCTTTGGATACTTCTTGCCTCTCTTGCAAAAATAGGTAAGTGGAAATGGTATTTTGGATCCTCCTTTATTGGTAAGAATTAAAAACATACCGTGTAACCAAGTATCTTGCATATGCTTTTGTGCTAGGGACTGTTTTTCTGTCCTATCCTGGAAAGAATAGGTCATTATTATGACAATGACAAACTTTCACCTCTTAATGCTTTCAAATTATTGAAATAAGTATATGATTTCTAACTCTCATTTCTCTTGGGCTGTCTATGCTAATGTGTAGCAATGAATGTCCTCCTCACAGTGCTGTCCATCCTTTGTTCTAATATTTAAATATCTTGCAATGAATATTAAATATCACAAGACTATACAATCTGACACAGCTGTAGAAATCAGGAAAACAGCTGACTGAAACCTCAGCAGTACTTACTTTGGGAAAGAGGAAAGTAAGAACCCTTCTGTCATGTGAATAATAGGAAGCAATTTCCTATAAACTTTTGTTTTAAATGTGTGTTGTTTAATGTTGCTCAGAAAGCAACATCAGAGGAGGGTGGTGAAGCCTGAACGGATACTGGTCATAGGAAAAGCAGCATAAATGCCTATAGAATATACTTCAATACATCTAGCTTCTCCTGGGGCTCAGTGTACATATCTGAAAGAAGAGAGACAACTCTTGGAGAAATAGGGACTGTAATTAATTAAGAAAAAAATGCTCACCCTGTGTCTTCTGCATCTATATGACTGGACTTAATTTTGGCTTTTTGGAACTAAAGCAGCAATATGAAATAAATGAAGATGATTGCAGTAATGAAGAGCTACACATAAGTGATTTTGCTGCTCTTCTGAAGTTCAGTGGGATTTTCAGGCACTCCTATAGAATGGGCAGAAGAATGGGAAGAAGAATCCCTTTATTTGATAAAACTGATAGAAGTCTTGAACATGATTTAAAAATGAAATTAAAATTAATTAAATTTATTTTTAATCAAAATAATTAAAATGCGATAGTAGTGTTATGATCATAGCATACTTTATGGTAAAAATAAGTATATTTCCCAAATAAATAATATTAAATTTCAGAAAAACGTGTTTTTGTTTCTTTTGCTTTTGAACACGAATAATTCACGCATCACAAAAATGCAAACTTGTCATTGGCTGCTAAAGTTAAGAGATGAAATTTCATCTTGCTTTAAGTATGAAAACAGGCCCATTGGATTGCACACAGAAGCACAGAATGACTGAGGTTGGAGGGTACCTCAGGAGGCCATCTGGTCCAACCACCATTCAACAGAGACACCTGGAGCTAGATGACCATTTATGACTGTCTTTGTCTCATTCTCATTCATGTAAACTCTGAACAATTCCTTACATTTTGAGATAAGGCATCTCTTATTCACAATATGACTAATTATACAGTCCCAAATACAGCAACTGGATGAGGCATTATTAGATACTATCTCAGTGTTGGTACCAATACTCATGTCAAATGTGCAGAATTACATAAACCCACAGTAGCAGGGCATCAAGGTAGGTTGGAAGAGATCCATACCCATAACATTTATAAGTTAAATGTAGCTCTTTCTCTCTAAAATGTCCTGGCTGCATCTATATTTTAAAGGGAAGGCATACTGTGGCAGCAAGCTGTGTCCAACTATCCATGTTGCATCAGTGCAGATGAGCTCTTTCTGAACTTCTGCCCCTGTCCGACAGCCTCCTCCCAGGCAGTGTCCAGGCAACCTATGGGTCAGGGTCTGTTCTTGCAGGCAGATCAGATATGTCTGTTTGTTTTCTGGGGCAGAGAAGAGCATCTGGCTGTCTGGATGTAAGCTGAACCTTCCTGATGGGAAATCTCTTTGGACTGCTTCATTTGGTAGTGTAGACTGAACCTTTATTTTTAGCAAGGAGAAAACCTTCCCAGGATGCATTGTTTTCTATTATTTGATGTCAATAGCTCTTTCAACTCAGCTGAAACCAGTGTTGTTGTTTTGTTTTTTTTTTTCTTTTTTTTTTTTTTCCACGAAACTAGCTCATAAAGTTCTTTACAGAGCACTGTTTACCTTACATAGAAACTAGAACTCCCAGAAAAGCAAGGTTAGTCAGCTTGTACAAAGCATTATGTGGCCATGCCTTGATTCCTGGTGATAACGAAGCCGCTTTGCATTTTGTGGTGTTCATGAGTATTCACTTGCTCAGCCTGTGGCTCACCTGGTGTCTGGGAAATTATTCAAGATGTTTCTGGAAGTGGAAGGAGATGGGCAGACCTTAGCATCTGTGCTGTTTGCTCCCTGCTCCCTTGGGCTTATCCAGGTTCCTGGTCAGCCCAAACCCAGGATTGTTTCATTTTGAAAGGAATGGCGCTACTTGTGCATTTACTTTTGTAATATTAAAACTAGAACCTGACAATATGAACACTAAGTGTTTGAAGGCAGGCAAAACATATCTGACTTCAGGCTAACTTAAATGTTTTATTAAAGGTTTCCATCTCTATCACCGATTACCAAGACTCATGCCTGAAAGCTGCATCCTGATTGCCATTGGAGCACTAGTTGGAGCGATCATCTTTGGTACTGACCACAAATCCCCACCGGTGATGAACACAAGTATTTACTTCTTGTATCTCCTTCCACCCATTGTGCTGGAAGAGGGTTATTTCATGCCAACTCGTCCATTCTTTGAAAACCTTGGGTCCATCTTGTGGTGGTCTGTGCTAGGATCTCTGCTGAACTCATTTGGGATTGGCCTCTCCCTCTATGGCATTTGCCAGATTGAAGTCTTTGGTCTGACTGACCTGAACCTGCTGCAGAACCTGCTCTTTGGCAGCATGATCTCAGCTGTGGATCCTGTGGCAGCTCTGGAAGTTTTTGAAGAAGCCTCTGTTAATGAGCAGCTTCACATGATGATTTTTGGAGAATCATTGCTGAATGATGGCATAACTGTGGTGAGTTTCTTTCCAGTCTTCATCTGCTTCTCTTAGGACTCTTTTTGCTTGGAGAGTTATTGGATGCAGGGCATGGGCTACTTTGTGAAGATCTTTGATGCAGTATAATATGCATGTTCTACTGGCAACTCACAATTAATTTTGATGTATGTAAAAACTACATCTTATATTAATTCTTTCATAAACATTTCATTTTCAAGCCACTGAAAGAGATATTGTTTCTAGTTAGACATTAAGACAGCACACCCTAATCTTGCATTCACTAAATTGAAAGGATAAGTGAAAGCAGATTTTGCTGATAGGAACACACTCGGTGTTGTGCAAGCAAATAAAAAACTGTACTCCTTTAGGACTGAGAGCAGCAGGGATAGCAATGCAAGAGATCCTCCTTTGTCTTATGCCTTAGAGAGCACTCAGCAAAAAAATGGACAGCCTCTGGTAGCCTTGATCCCTTCCAGGAAATTCTCCAGAGACCTTAGACAGGAATTTCAGAAACCATGAATGATTTTGCTAAACTGTTTCTATTGATAAAATAATTGTCATCAAATAAGTATTCACCTTTCTTGAAAATCTTGTTCCAAGTACTCAAAACAGTGCTTTGCTTTTCATTTTTAAAAAAGAGAGTTTTTTGTGATTTGTTTGTTTTTGACAGAGCTCCTTTTCTACTACTTTCCCCATTTTCCCTACGCTTTTACTGAAGTATGGAGCAACTTGAAATTCTAGCTGTGGACTAGTAGAACCCACATGTTTTTCAAACAAGCAGGAAATTCATTAGGAGGGGATCAACAGGAGTGTTTATGTGCTGAAAGTTAAGTACAGGTTAAGGAGTTTTTCTCGATATGATCTTTACAGAATTTAAATCACAGGAATCTAAAACACATAAAAAGTATCGAGATACTGTTATACATTGGGTACAGCAGAACCTGGACTTGTAAAAGCTGTAAGGAGTTCACTGCTCAAAGGCTTCATGGGAGAAATACAGCTCATGAGTAATGTTTAGTGGAAAAAGAATGAAATAATTTATTGCAGCCATAGCCCAGTGATCATAAATCCTTCACCTTGGTGAATCAGAGATGTAAGGCAAAAGTAGAATTAAGGGACAAATGTTACTTAACCTTGCATACATACTGCTTATGTGCTATAGCTGTAACTAACAAAGCACAGTGCATCTATCACTGCCACCTGTCTTTTGGTTCCTTCCAGTGTAGACTTCAGAAAGTAGTATCCGTTCCTCATTCTGGAATAACTTGTTCGGTCTGTTGTCTGCCTGGCTTTCTACCCTGTCTTTCCTTTGTTCCCATTTGTGTTTATGATGTGGGTCCTGAGAACCCATGATGTGAGAATTTATGTGAGCTTTCAGTCAGGATCCTGTTGCAGTGTAAATCTATAGTGTCAGAAAGTCTTAAAAAACATAGGTGTTTAGGTATTCTTATACAGCACAAGGTGTGTTAGCAAAAGAAACAAAAGGGAGGTCTTTCTACATGACTGTGAGGTCCCTTTGCCCCATGCACCTCCTCCTTAAATCTCTTAAAGCAGCTACATGGCAATCCATTTGTTGAACTTCTCTGTTACATTTCTGTATCAGTCACCTCTCAAGACATTTTCTGGGCATTCAGATTTGCAAAATCTCTATCAAGCCAAATGCAGAGAAGTCTAGACTATTTATCATGCTGATGGAGCCCAAATAGATTGCTTTTTCCTCTTTCACACTTCACTTACTATTTTGAAATCTTTTAAACTGTTCTTACATTACCATTTCCTCCTTGTTTCTCTCTTACCAGCTTTATTTGACTTAACGTGTCTAAAAGGCAGTACCACCTAGATACAATAAATATTTTTTTCTATTATTTAAATACAAATATCCCTTGGTTCTGTCTAGCCTCTTATCAGCTATTCTCTCAGTGGCAGGATAAGCAGGTATGATTTTTGCTGAACTATTATACCCAAGGCAACAATAGCTCTCCCTCTCTCATACTGAGTTTAATACCTTAGTGCACAAAATTCCTAAACTGCGGAGTTAGAACAGTGACTGAAGACTGCAACTAAATAATAATTGTATCCTTAGATGCATATAACTGTGATAATTGTACCCTTTGAACCCATTTATATCCTTTCCCATTCTCTTTACAGAAACTGTGTGTCAATGGAACAAGAAGACACTAGGTCCTGCTAGTTTCTTTTCCCAGTGTTTTCTCAGCAGACTTTTAGCAACAGAATAGTGTAAGCAGCAACAGGATTGGTCCCACTGTGAGAGTTTCAAAGCCCTGAATGAAACAGTGATGTTGGTAAATACAGCTCAAATGTCATTCAAGCTTGAACAAGTGAAGGACCCTAATTTTGTTGCAAAGGGTTTCAAGTTTCTGTAACTCAACTCCTTCATGTGCCCAGTCCATTTCATCTTGACAGGAGCTGAGCACATGTGCATCAGAAAACTTGATATTTCACCTGTCCATTTCTGATCTCAGAAACCCTGAGAACACCTGTGTACCATGTCATACTGAAAATGAAGCTGCAGAGACCATTTTCTCTAATGGTGTCCTCTCTTTGTGTGCAGTCACAGAGCTGTTAAAAAATCTCAAGCATGATGGAGATCCAATAAAAATAATTTGTTTGAATGAATTTGAGTTTACCTCTCTGATGTCTCTAGGAAAGCTTTGACCATTAGATGTGTTAGAGAGGAGAATGGAGATATTCCACCTGTCATTGAAGTTGACACATTGTGTTTAAAATAAATTAAAATTCATGTGATCTAAAAGAGGAAATAAAGCGTTTTCAAGGCTGCCTATGTTAGTAGTTAAGGCAGTCATCTGAAAATCTTTGCTTCCAGAGCTCCTGATGTGAGCACTGTGTGCAATGTTCAAGTCATGTCAGCTGCTGAAGCAGCAGCTGGAGCAGAGAGCCCAGCACCAGGAGACATGCATGAAAATGTAATGTTTGCTCTTCTTCACCCTGGCTCTATCAGTCATTTAGTGGTATACTGCTACATGGTAGTGTCTCCTCCAAAAAACTCAAAGCATGACATTCACAAAGTTAAGTGAGGGCAACTATCAGTCCATGCCTTCTTTGTGAGCAATCCAAGGCATCCTGAGCTGTTCCAAGCTTTTCTGCCATATAAAGAAGTATGGTATTTCTTCTGCTAGTAGAAACACCCCAAGTTAACTTTGTTGAACAACTTTTATATGGAGGCTTACTTCTGTGATGCCCAAAGTAAATTGTTGTGAAGAACAGTTTATTCTCACAAAACACACTACCAGGAGGAAGAAAAAAAATAATAATAATAAAAAAAAATAAAAAAGAAGGAAATAATGTCACATTTCAATGATTTTCACTTTTATGCTGATTCACTTATACAGATCCATTAGGAGGCAGAAAAGGAGGGGCAAACTTACAAAATCATTTGCTGATGATAATTCATATTATTTAAAAGACTACACAGGTCAGTACCTTGATATCACTTATAAAGAATTTCAAGTCTTAAGAAGAGGTTGAAATCAGCAGGAAAGGGGGAACAGAAAGATAATAGACTTTGTAATCAGACACTGCACAATAAGTACATGATATTTTGCTGGCTGTGGGACACAGCTTCTTTTTTTTACATATCACTTTCATGCATAGTCATAAGGAAAAATGAGGCTCAGTACTTTGTTTTAGGATGCTCTCATGAAATATTTTTTGTGTTTTTGTCTGTCCCTCAGAAATATTATCAATGAGACTCCTAGAGAACAACCAGTTTGACAGCTCAAGGTCATACACTCCCAGCAGCAATTTAAGATGGGCTAGTAGCTGGGGAATAATTATTATCCTAATGAGCTTGATTCTTCTATCTGAAAATATCTACTTTAATCTTCTTAATAGTCTCCCGAAATTAACTGTATGAAGAAGAAAGAACAAAGAAGAACAGATAAGATCAATGACTTTCCTCTGTTCTGATGGAACTAATGCTTTGGTACAACAGCTACAGTGGACCGGAGTCTTTAGTTGTTCCCAAAATTCTCTTGAAAACTGAAAGATGACTCCCATATACTAGACATTCCCTGTAAATAGATCTGACAGGACTTAATGGTAGCCAACTGTCAGCAGCTTCTAAGAACTTTTTACTACTACCCCATTCTTTCAATTAGTTTTTAAAAGATGGATGAAATTACAAAAGAATTGAGATTTTTCAACGTGAACTTCTGCAGAAGAGAACTATTAATACTGCGAGCATTTTAAATTTATCTGATCCAGACTACATAAATGGAATCATCTTTTATTTCCTACTTAAGGTTGTGAAGAAGGTTAAGTGGCATTAAATATAAAACATGTGAGAGTACAGAGACTGTGAACTTCCCCTCCCAAACTTCCCCCTACAAAACATGTAGGGATCAGTGTGGGTGGGGCAACTGAGTGTAGCTCTGAAAGAGAGTATTAAAAGTAAAGAGGTTTAGAGTCAGACCAGTGCTTATTTCAGTCAGGCTGGGAAAGTGTCTTTCGGTTATTTCTTTGTGTAAATGCAGTTGTGACAGCCATTTATTCTGGATTATTCAGTGTCAATCAGCATAGACCATAATTATTGTATTAAGAAGACAATTCATTAAAACTTTGATTAACTAAGTATTCCACTTGAACACAAATGACAGAATTGTAATAACTGTACTTATCTAGCTAGAAGAAATCTGAATCTGAGGTTGCCATTTATTTCCCTTCCCTTCCCTTCCCTTCCCTTCCCTTCCCTTCCCTTCCCTTCCCTTCCCTTCCCTTCCCTTCCCTTCCCTTCCCTTCCCTTCCCTTCCCTTCCCTTCCCTTCCCTTCCCTTCCCTTCCCTTCCCTTCCCTTCCCTTCCCTTCCCTTCCCTTCCCTTCCCTTCCCTTCCCTTCCCTTCCCTTCCCTTCCCTTCCCTTCCCTTCCCTTC